CCTGCCCCACGTGTGGCTCAGGATCTATTTCATCATCTGGAGAAAAGCATTTACTGCCAATAAACGGGCTAATTAATTCTCCTCAAAGACCTCTCAATTATTCATCTCGGGCCACAGAGAAAACAATTACAGCACTTACCTCAGCCCTGGCTCGGCCAGTGCAGCAGCCAGCACGGGGCCAGGACTGGCGGCGGGCAGGGCACGGCCCGGGATGCCCAGCACAGACCCCCAGCTCCCAGTGCCCGGCCAGCCCCGGCTTTGCCCACCCAGCAGAAGCGGCCCCGTGGAGCTCTGCGGGAGGGCTGCTGAGCCAGCTCAGCCACCCAGCCCAGAGCCATCGGCAGCAGGGCTCGCCCAGGGTGCCCCCGAGAGCTGCTCCCAGCACCAGGGCTCAGGACCGAGGGGACCGACCCGGCCCCCTGCACAGCTCCTCGCCACAGGGCAGGTCCCTCGGGTCTAACCCCAATCTGCCCACGCGCAGCTGAAGCCGCTGCGTCCCGTCCACCGAGAACACAGCAGCGGTTTGCTCCCTCCTCGCCACACGCCTGCAGTGGTCTCATCTCCCCACCCTTGTCGAGCAGCCCAGCCGCCCCCCACACCTCCGCCCAGGGACACCCACCTTCGAGCCGTGGCCAGTGCCAGCCGTGGGTGCCCGTTGAGAGCAGGGGCTCAGGCTGCACACCCCACGAGCCGTACAGGAGCACATAGGCTCCCCACACCGCCCAGCCCCACACAGCACATCGCTCCGGCTCGGCTGGGCACAGGCAGGACCCCATCCTGCCTGGGCACCCAAGCCCCCCTTCTGCCCCGCAGCCCCAGGGGCCAGGCCGCGCCGGGGTCCCCTTCGGAGAGGGGCTTTTTTCCCTGGACGGTTCTCTGGCTCCTTGGCCCTTGGGATGCTCCTTCTGCCCCACGCAGGGCTGAGGCCCCGCTCCCTCTGCATCAGCCGCCCCTCGAGAAGGAAGACCCTCTACACTGCGAGCTGGTGGGTCCCTTCCCACACAGCTGGGCAGGTTGGGGGGTGCAAAGGCCTCCGGGGCCGGGGTGCGAGCCAGCTCCCTGCTGCTCACCTCCCCCCTGCACGGCGGGTCAGGCTGCCCCAGCACCACCAGCCGGCCGCCCCCCGGGACCCCCCTGCACCCCGAGGAGGGGGGGCACGGCTGACCCGAGGTGGGCGGCCAAAGCCCCCTGCTCGGCTCCGCGGGGGCCCCGGCCCCGGGCTCGGAGCCCCCGGCCGGGGCAGCGCGGGGGGCCCGGGGCGGCCGCGGGGCCGGGCCGGGAAGGGTTAAGGGCGGCCCGCGCCCCCCCGGCGGCCGAGGGGCGGGCCTGTCGGGAAGCAGGGATTTCTGCGGTGGTTTTACTGGAAAAGTTGTTGGCGGCGGAGGGAGGGGTCACCCGAGCGGCCCCGCAGGTTGGGGACGGGGGGGACCGGCCGGCCCCGCAGCTCCCGCCAGCTCCGCTCCGCCGGGCTCCGGGAATCGGGCGCCGGGAATCGGGCTCCGGCTTCGGGCTCCGGCCGCTCCGCCGGCCCTGCACGGCCGGGACCCGGTGCGCGGCTCGCTCCGGCTGCCGGCCTCCCCGGTGCCCCCGGAGCAGCCTCCGCCGCCGGCCCGGGGGCTCTGCCCACCCTGCCCCGTCCCGGTGCCCCGCGGGGAACAACCGGTCCTGGACCACAGCGATGGCAACCGCAGCCGAGGCTCGGCCAGTCCCGCCCCGCCGGCCGCGTCCCAGCGGGGCCGTCGAGGGTTTTGTCCTGGGCTGGCTGCCGTGTGTGCGAGCAGCCTCCGGCACGCACCCCGGGGAGCCAGGGGCCCGAGGCAGCAATGGCACCGTTACACCGGGACGGCGGCGGGCTGGGGTGCTGCGTCCCCCCCAGCACCGCCCGGCGCTGGCCGCGGCGTGGCACGGCTCGCTGCAGGCCTGGCTGTGCCCCGGGCAGGCTGAGCCAGGAGCCCAGCGCAGCCCGGCGCTTCCAGGCATCGCTCCACGGTTCCCGACAGTAGGAAATCACTTGGCTCCACGGCTCCTATTCCTCCCGGGATGATTGATGGTTGCTCCCCCCTGCCCGGGTGGGAGCGGGGCCCTCCAGGGCAGCCAGCCCCAGCCCACAAGGACGAGCTGCGGCAGCCGCAGCGCAGGCAGCACGGCCGCGGGGCCAAGGCAGCCTGGCAGGAAAGCACCCCCCCGAGCTCATGGCGAGCGCTTGGTCGGTGCTCTGCAGCCAGCCCCTGGCACAAGACGCCCAGGGCCCCGGCAGGGCTGTGCCCACAGCCTGCCGGCTCTGCCGCGAGCAGGTCGCCAGCCCCAGCCTCGGGGTAGCCATGTCTGTGGGGGCACGCAGCTCAGCCCCAGCGCGGCAACAGCCAAGGCACCGACGCTGGCCACCGTGCCTCCCCCCGAGCCCGCAGCCCCTCCTGAGGCACCCGCAGAGGGGACCCCAGGGCCGGGGGGCCGGGACGTGCAGCGGGGCAAGCGGGCAGGGCCTGGCAGCGGCTGCCTGTGGGGCCGGGGTTAGGGGGAGCCCGGCCGGCTCCGGGAATCGCCCCGGCGGCTGCCAGGCCTGTGGCAGGGAGGGCGGGAGGGGGGAAACCCGATCCTCCCCGGCGGGACCTGGGCTCCACTCCCCGTCCAGGCTTCAGCTGCTAATTTTAGCCCTGGGGAGGCACCGCCGGAGCATGAGCTCAGCCCACCGGGGCTGCACGTTCGGTGGGGCCAGGAGCCGCCGGCCGGCACTGGCAGGTGGTGGCCGCGGGAGCCACGGCACAGCGCTGGCCCTGGGCGAGCCCCCGGGCGAGCCCCCCCACCCCGGCCGCTGGCCAAGCCCCCGCCGCGCCGACGGCCCGGCGCCAGTCGTGCCTCCCCACTGCCCACACGCCTGCGGCCTTGGCTGTGCCAGCCCCACTCGTGGCCTCGAGCCCTCCCGCGGGACCCAGCGCTGGCCCCACCGCGGCTCTGCGCGGTCAGGGGGGGCTTGCTGGGTGCTGATGGGGCGGAGGAGTGGTGACCCCTGAGGCAGGACCCGGCCCTGAGCCCCAGGGGAGAGGCGCGGGGCTGGCAGGATGTGGGGCTCCGCGGAGGAGGGGGACCTGCCACGCTGCGAGGTCCTGTGAGGGATGTGGCCGCCTGCGAGTGAAGGAGCCCCCGGCATGGGCACAGCCCCCAGACCCTGCCTGGGCTGGGCACAGAGCCCTGAGCCGCCCGTCTCGGGTCTCCAAAAGCGGCGCTTGCAGGGGCTGACGGCCAGGATGGGTCCCCACACCAGGCTCAGCGCTGCGTGGGGCACCCCAGGGCCACCCGGCCACCCCCACCAGGAGCAGTGGGAGCGGGTGGGTGAGCGGCTGGGGAGGCCGTGGCCGAGGGATGCTCCAGCCAGCTGCGAGCGGAGAAAGCAGCTCCAGAGCCAGCTCTGCCCCAGGGCAGCTGCCCCACACATGGTGGGGTCCCCAGCCCAGGGCCCCATGGCTGCACTCCCCCCCCCCCAGCCCTTCACCTGCGGCGTGACCGGCCGGGCTGCCCGGCGCTTACTGGAAGAGGAAGCTGCTGGGAAGGCAGTGCATGCAGCGGGGCAGCTTTGGGGAGGAGAGGCTCGGCTCAGCAGCCGGCAGCACTCGGCTGTCCATGCTCCCGGGTCCAGGGCCAGTAACGGGAAGCGTCTGCTCTCAGTGACGGTAAATCAGATCGGGGAGATTAGAGGCCTTTTTGCCTAATCATGAGCAGCTTGAAGTTGGAGGACAAGTTCCTGGAACAAAGAGGAAATGGAGGCAGTAAATAAAGAAAAACTGTTAACATGTGGCCCCGTGTGTGAAAAACGTCTCAGTGAAGGACTGTTTATGGCTCACTCATCTGCGGGGCTGACAGCGCGGGCTGCGGCGGGGGCTGGCGATGAGGCCCCATGAGCAGGGGTGCAGGCAGGGCAGCTGGCGAGCGGGCAGCCAGCCGGGGCAGCCGCGGGGGGCTCTGGGCTGGGGGGGACGGCCGGAGGGGACAAGGCCACGTGGTGGCACGTGGCGGAGGAAGGAAGAAGGCAGAAGGATAGCGGGGGCCGTGGCGCAGGCAGCTGGGCCGGGGGCTGCCGAGGAGGGCGCGTGGACACGGGGAGGCAGCGGCATGGCAGCGGGTGGGCAGGGATGGGGCAGCGTGTGGCCCCTGAGGGGAAGGGTGGTCACCCACATGTGCCTGCCCCACTGCTCCCCCTGCGAGTGCCAGGAGAGGTGCCAAGCGCTGCGGAGCTGTGCCCCCCTCCCCACCTGCAGCACGAGGGGGGCACGGCCCCGGCTGTCCACGCAGAGCCCCACGGCCAGGGGCTGGCTCTGCCCCACGGAGCATGCAGCCTGACACAGGGGAGGTGGGAGCTCTCGCTGCCACGCTGGGCACATGCCCCCCGGCTCCGGGGGCCACAGGGATTTCTGCCAGGAGCCGTGCGCCGGTGTCCCCCTTTCCCGGTGTGGGGCAGAGAGAGCCAAGAGCTGCGGAGCCGAGCCCGGCGCTGCTGCAGGACGCGCCGGCCCACGGTGCCACGGGACGCGCCAGCAGCTCCAGCCGGGAGCCGGAGCCGATTCCCAGCAGCGAGGTCACTGGGAGCCGCGGCCGGCCAGCGCGCCGTGGGCCTGCGGAAAGCCACGCCGGCCCCCACGGACACGCGGCCCATGCCCCCTCCGCGGCCAAGCGAAGGGCTCCGGGAGAGCCGGGGGGGCCCGCGGCAGCATCCACGCGTGTCCCCCAGCCCCTCCGCCCGCCGCCGCGCCGCGGGGCAGCAGCGAGGGACGGAGGGATGGGGAGGGGCCGCGCTCGGTGCCCACCCCCCCGCAGGAGCCGTCGCCCCCGTGTCCCGCCGCCCCGGCCGCGGGGCTCAGCACCGCCCCCCGCCCCACCCGCGACGGGGGCCGTGGCCGGGCGGGCGATCCCGCCCCCGCCCGGGAGTCCTTGCGGCAGGGCGGCCGTGGCCATGCTGGCGGCGCGGGGGCTGCGGCGGGGGCTGCTGCCGGCGGGGGGGCCCGGGGCCGGGCCGGTGCAGCCGCGGGGCCCCCCCCGCCCCGCCGGGCGCCCGCCGCGCGTCGTGGACCTGCGGAGCGACACGGTGACCCGGCCCTGCGTGGGGATGCGCCGCGCCATGGCCCGCGCCGCCGTGGGCGACGACGACTACGGGGAGGACCCGACGGTCAACGGTGGGCGGCGGGGACGGGCCCCCCTCCCGCCCCGCGGCCCCGGGCCCGGCAGGGACGGAGGCCCCCCCCCCCCCCCTCGGTGGGGTCTCTGCGTGCAGCCCCCCCTCCCCTAGCCCAGGGGGCTACCGGGCTGGGGAGCCCAGAACGGGGCTTCCCTGGGGCTGGGGGCGGTAGCCTGGACCCGTAGGGTTCCCGTGCCCGCCCAGGGCCCGCAGACTCCCCCCACCCCGCCCCAGGACCCCCGTGCTTCTCCCGCCCCCTCCCGCAGAGCTGCAGCGCCGGGCCGCAGGGATGCTGGGGATGGAGGAGGCTCTTTTCGTGCCCACGGCCACGATGGCGAACCTCATCGCCGGTGAGTGCCTGGGACTGTGCCCACCTTCCCCGTGCCTGGGGGGGACCAGGTCACAAACCGAGAGGCAGTTTTATGTCCCCCCCATCCCATGGAGGGTGCAGAGAGCGGGCACAGCCCCTCTCCTCCCCGGGGTCCCGAGGAGACCCCCGCTTCTGCTCAGGACACTGCCTGCACAGCCCCAGGGGAGAGCTGTGGGCCACAGGCCCTTTCTGACCTGGCTGCAGCCCCTTCCTCCGCCCCCTTCGCCTCAAATCTGTAGCAGCACGGCCCCGCTCGGACCCTGGAGCTGCTCCTCTCTTTGTGCTGCTGCTGCTGCTGAGCAAATCCCACCGTGGGTCTGCTCGTCCCCATCCCGCGCTCTGCTCTGTTAACCTTTACCCATTCTGCTTTCCCGCCTTCCTGCGAGCGGGGGTCTGCTGTGGGAGTGGGGGACCCACTCCAGCCCCGGCCACATGCACGCACCAGGGAGGGGGGGCCGTGCCCCCCTAGCCGCTCCCGCATCTCCAGCCACCGCAGGCAGCCCCGGTCCGACAGCCCCAGCACCTCCGGGGTGGGAGCGGATGCCCCGTGCCCGCGGGGTGCTGCGCAGCTGCCATGCTGCATGCCCAGCCTATGCTCGCCGGAGCCCCACCGACCGCTGCACCCAGTGGGTGCTGCCTGCTGGGTGCTGCCCACGGTGCCCCCCTCCCTCACAGCCCCTCTTCCTCCCAGTGATGTGCCACTGCCAGCGTAGGGGGGCTCAGCTGATCCTGGGCCAGGACGCCCACCTGCACCTCTATGAGCACGGCGGGGCTGCGCAGGTGGGTGCTGCGGGCGCCGTGGGCAGTGGGTGCTGAGGGCGGGTGGGCTCCGGCCTGGGCTGGCGGTGCGGGCAGCGCAGGGAGGGGCAGGAGGGTGGCTTGTTGCTGCCCTCCTCTGGCTGCCGGGGCCAGGCTGGGCTGAGGATCTCAGGCTGGGCTGCAGCGGCAGCACCCGGGTCACCCTGAGCCACGGCCTGGGGCACGAGTGGGGGCTGAGCACACCCGGCGCAGGGGATAGAGGGGCAGAGAGCCGGGACCCCCGCGCACTGCTACCGTCCCCGCTCTGCTCTGCTCTGGGCGCAGGTCGCCGGCGTCCACTCCCAGGCGCTGCCGGACCTGCCAGACGGCACCTTCGACCTGGGGCGGCTGGAGCTGACCATCCGCGAGGCCCACGGCAGCCGGTACCACCCGCGCCCCGAGCTGCTCTGCCTGGAGAACACTCACAGCGCCGCGGGGGGCCGGGCGCTGCCCCTCGCCTACCTCCAGCAGGTAGGAACCCACAGCAGCCCGGGCAGGACGGCACCGCAGGGACGCCGGGGCCTCGCCGAGGAGCTCGGAGAGCGGCTCACACTGGCGCCAGCCGCCCCGGGGGTCCCTCCCCAGCCCAGCGGCTCCTCTGCCTCCCCCCCAGGTCCGTGGGCTTGCCAGCCGCTACGGGCTGCGGGTGCACATGGACGGAGCCCGGCTGATGAACGCGGCGGTGGCCCAGGACGTGGAGCCGGCTCAGATCGCCCAGCACTGCGACTCTGTGTCCCTGTGCTTCTCCAAGGTGTGCTCGCGTGGGGAGGGGGTTCCCGGGTGCCCCTTGTTCGGGGACACCGGGCTGAGCGCCCGCTTTGCGGGCTGGGGCAGCCCTGGGTGCGTCTCCAGGAGGGGCAGGGGGGCTGGGGTCACCCCTCTCCGGTGGCTCCGCAGGGCCTGGGCGCTCCGGCCGGCGCGGTGCTGGCTGGGCGCAGGGGGTTTGTCGGCGAGGCCTGGCGTGCACGGAAGCTGCTGGGCGGGGGGATGCGGCAGGCGGGCGTGCTGGCGGCCGCTGCCCGCGTGGGACTGGAGCGCGCGGAGGCCACGCTGCGCAGAGACCACGACAACGCCCGGCGCTTTGCTGAAGGTATCGGGGCCCCTCGGCGCGCCGGGACGTACAGGCGCCCGCAGCCCATCGCCGCGCTCTCCGCCCGGCTGCGCAGGCTTCCGCGCAGTGCTGCTCAGCCAGGTCCTGCCCTGCCCGACAGCTCAGCACGGAGCAGGCTGTACCCCCCCCCCAGCCCCATCAGCTGGGCTCACCGCACCCACCACGGGGGTAACAGCGGCATGAGCACCTTCCCTGGGCGGCTGTGCTGGATCTCCGGCCTGGCGAGGATGCCACGGGGGTCCCTGCCTGGCTGGAGCGCCGGGAGGATGCTGTGCCTCTCCAGGGAAACCGGGTACCGGGCTCACATCTTACCGCCCTGCCTCCCGCAGGCATCCAGGAGCTGAACTCGCCCGTCTGCTCTGTCAACCTCGCGGCGGTGGAGACGAACATCGTGATGGTGAGTGTTGCGGGGGGCTGGCTGTCCCCCGCAGAGCTCTGTGAGCACATGCGGGCAGTGAGCGAGGAGGAGTTGGCTGAGACCGGCCAGGCTGTCAGCGTCCTGCTGTTCCCCTGGTCGGAACACGCCGTCCGCGCAGTGTGGCACCGTGATGTCTCGGCCCGCGACACCGAGCTCGCGAAGAACAAGCTGGAATTTGTGGCCAGGAAGTGCCAGGAGAAGCTGGCCCAGGGACTGCATCCGGCACCCCCGAGCGCCGGGGGAGCCTGAGCATCCTCCCAGCCCCAGCCCGGGGTGCTGCAGGCAGGCTGGCAGGCAGCAGCAAAGGGGCTGGGACCAGCCACAGCATGCTCCAGGCATATTCTCAACCAGCTGCAGCACAACATCCACCCCCGGGGAGACCCCAGCCCACCCCTGCGGTGGGAGCACTGCAGCTCCCGGAGGGGAGCACCTTCGCAGACATGCCCAGGGGGACAGAGGGGAGCCCCCATCTCACACCACCACCCAGACCCCTCTGAGACAGCGTCCCTGCCTCTCGGGTCACCCAGAAAACGCGTTCTCAGCGCACTCCCCAGTCCTCTACAGCAGCTCTGCTTCTGTAACTGGGGTCCCACAGGCAGCACCCAAAAGCGGAGCCAGACACCTCCTGCCCCAAAGGCCACAAGCTGCGCCTGGCCCACACGCACCACACGTGTGCAGGGATGCTGCCGTGGGGACAGATCCCGAGGGATGGCCAGGGCACAGAATAAACGTGTTCTGGCAGCACTGTGGCTGTGTAAGATGTTTTCCCCCAAGTGTGCTTCTTTCCTGGCTGTGCAGCAGGGACATCATCGCAGCCCAGAGGTCCCCACTGAGGGCCAAGTGCTCCTGAGGATGCGGAAGCGTCTCAGCCGCAGGACCAGGGCTGCTGCACAGTGGCATTGAAGTTTATCTGGCCAGGACTGTCCCGGGGGCACAAGCCCAGCCTGGCCCAGACAGGTCACCGATGTGCACGTCCGTCACCCCCCTGTCCCCAAAGGCTTGTGTTACCCCAGTCCCACAGCCCCCCCGCAGCCGCAGGGGGGTTCTGGCTTCCCTGCCTGCCGAGCCTGTCACAGTCCACGTCAGCAAGTCCCCAGCTTTGCCCCTGCAAAAGCTGAGCGGGGCTCAGTGGTGGGCTCCCCACCGCTGGCACGGGAGAGCCCAGCCCCAGGACGGGAGCTCGAGCTGGACGAGGAGATCCTGCAGCAGCCATGTCCAGGGTGTGCTTGCTGGCTTAGCACAGCCCCAGCTCCCCAGGAAGCAGAGTTGCACCCAGCAGCAATTATTCCTATTTTATTTTGTATAAGCAATAAGCAGTTTAAAGCAAATGGAGGGAGCAAACTTCATCACCCGGTCATCCAGACAGAGCCTGCGTGCTCCAGATGGGCAGGAACACCCCAGCAAAGAAACACCAGCCCAGGCGAGAATCGGTGATAACTGGTACTCCCCTGCCCCGAGCCCCCCGGCCTGGCTGCAGGCTGGATGGAGCGGGGGGGGGGCACAGAGGGTGTGGAGGCAGCAGCTGCCCTGTGCTGCAGAGCTGCAGCCAGGGCAGCCGGGCAGGGCTGTGCTTCCCATCTCTGTTTGCTCCCGACGTGCCATCAAGCTTTTGAAATCATGTTCAGAATCACCTGGGATGAGGACCCAGGCCCTGTGAGCGCTGCCTGGCCCCACTCCTCCCGTGGAGAGGACAGCCAGCCCCAGAGCAGCAGCCCCGTTATCCGCCCCAGGGGAAGCTCGCCCCAGCACATCCCTCTGGGCTGCTGCTAGCTGCACTCAGAGCGGAGGGAGGACGGCAGCTCTTCCCCTACCTGGGTGAGGATGTAGCTCTCCTCCGACAGCTTCTCAATGATGTCAAAGTGATCCACGCCAGCGAGATCCAGCATGGAGACGGACCAGCCGGCTGCACGCAGGGCCTGCGGAGAGAGAGGCACGGGCAGGAGGGACCCTGACCCCCATCCGCCCCGGACGGGGCCACAGCACCGACAGCTTGGCAGGGACCGGCGTCTTCCCCTGAGCCGCCAGCGTCTTCGACAGCAGCCATCGCACAGCAGCAGAAATACTGCTCTGGCACGGCCCACGGGCTCTTCACCCCAGCTTAGTGGGCCGGCGGGCGCAGCGTCCCTGCGGAGCTGGGCAGGCTGCTCCCCGGAGCTCACCTGGCCGTACTCCTGCGACTGCCTGCGGAACTCCGGGGAGTCGTGCTGGGCTACAGCCACGAGCACCTCACAGGCCGCGGCTGCAGGCGCTGCTGGGGCGACGCGGAGCATGGGGCTGTTCCTCTGCGCCACCTCCCTGGGGGAGACGGGCACCGCAGCGGTGGCCGGCGCAGCCCCTCGCTCCGAGAGGGCGTCTCTGCCTCCGCGGCCGCCGCGCCCTGCCCCGGTCGCTGTCCCCGTGGGCTCACCGGCTCATGTTCAGCGCATCGTTCACATAGGTGTGCAGGATGGGCTCCAGGTCGTAGATGCCGCTCACCAGCACGGCTCCTGGAGGCAGGGGTGCCGGCGGGTGAGGGGCCACTCTCAGCCCTGCGCCCGAGGACTCTCCCTGCGCTCACATCCCCCAAGGGCGCAGGACACGGACGCCCCTGAGGAGCCCAGTGTCCCGCACCGCAGCGCCTGTGGGCTGCAGTCAGCGGGGAGAGCTCATCTCCCGCGGCTCCACAGCCCCGTACGGGCAGGGGGGACGCCTCGTCCCGGGTGTAGACACCAGTTCTCCTCCAGCCCCTGCGCCGGGACGCGGCGGCGCTACCTTTGATATCCGGCACCACTCCGAATTCCGTCCAGTCCGTGGACAACACCATGGCTGCCAAGTGGGCCCCGGCCGAGTGCCCGCACAGGTAAAGGCCTCTGGAGGAAGGGAGCCGTGAGCCAGCGCGGGGAGCGACGGCGCGGCGCCCCGGGGACGCCCAGCTCCGCGCCGACGAGCGCCGCAGCCTGGGAGCAGCAACTGGGACCCATTTCCCAGTCCGTTGGCCGACGGCTCGCGTGGCGGGGAGGGAGCGCGGGTGCTGCGCAGCGCGCAGAACCACCCGGGGAGCGAGGCGGGCGCGGAGGTGGGGGGGGACCCCGGACCCACCCGATCCCGGGGTACCGCCGCAGCAGGAAGGCGAGGCTGCGCCGCACCTGCAGCACCATGTCGTCCATGCGGCCTGGGCGGAGGGCAGCGTCGGGAGGGCGGCCGGGCCAGCGCGGGCAGCCGCGGGCTCCCCCCGGGGAAGCACCTACCTTTGGGGGCTGTGTCGTAACCCACCGCCACCACCGCGACGCCCCGCGACACCAGCGGGGGGGCCGCGAACCCCGCCTCGTCTTTACTGGGGGGGGGGAAACGGGAGGTAGCCGGGCTGCGGGGCGGCCGCTCAGACCCGGAGGACCCAGAAGGAATCCGGGCGTCGTGAGCAGGGAGGCGGCAGAATCGGGCCGGGGGGGTCCCCGCCTCACCTCAGGCACTGCCAGTACCCGCCGTGGATGTAGACCAGGACCGGGAAGGCTGCGCGGCACAGCCCGGGGTGAGCGGGGGTGCTCGGCCTCCGCCCCCCCCCCCCCCCGCCGCCCCCCCACCCCACCTACTTCCAGAAGGGTCCGCGGGAAAATAGACGTCCAGCTTCTCGCCGTCCCCGTCGCCGTAGGGGACGTGCAGCGAGGTCTGCGCGGCCGCCCGGGCCCGCCGGGTTCCTGCGGGAGGAGAGACACGGTGTCCGGGGCACGGCCCGGCGGCAGCCCCGCTCCCGCCCCCGGCCCCGCTCCCGCCCCCGGCCCCGCTCCCGCCCCCGGCCCCGGCCCCGGCCCCGGCCCCGCCGCCCCTCCCTCACCTGCCGCCGTGGCCGCGATGTGGGCCTGGATGACGGTGTCCGTGCCCAGGCGGGGGGACCAGCGGCTCGGGGAGTACTGGTGCTCCAGCGCCTGCGGGGAGGCACGGGGGGGTACGGGGGGACACGGGGGGGTACGGGGGGACACGGGGGGGTACGGGGGCGGCGGCGGGGCGGCCCGGGGGGGTGGGCGCCGGGCGATAAGGGAGCGTTACCCGCCCCCGGGCCCTACCTCCGCCGGCATGTCCCGCCACCCGCACATGCTGCGGCCGGGCTCCGTCCCGGTGCCGGTGCCGGTCCCGGTCCGACCCCAATCCCGGTCCCAGTCCTGATGTTGATCCCGATCGCAAACGTGATGCCTCCCCCGGTCCCGATCCCGCTCTCCGTCCCGTTCCGATCCCGCTCCCGGTGCCGGTCCGATCCCCATCCCGTTCTCGACCCCGACCCCAATCCCGGTCCGATCCCGGTGCCGATCCCGCTCCTGCTCCGCTCCCGGTCCGCTCCCGATCGCAATCCCGATCCCGCTCCTGCTCCTGCTCCCGGTCCCGGTCCCGGTCCCGATCCCGATCCCGGTCCCGATCCCGTTCCCGCGCCCTTTGCCCGTCCGGGGGCGGGGCCTGATCCCGGGGGCGGAGCCGGTCCGCTCCCATTGGCCGCCCGGGAGGCGGGGCCGGGGCACGTGCCGGGGGCGGGGCACGGTGCGGGGCTACCTCGCTCCTATTGGCCGCCTGGGGGGCGGGGCCGAAGCGGGGACACCGGACGGGCTGGACAGGGCGATGACGCAGGACGCTCAGGCGGGCGCGCGCGCGGTGCACGCCGGGAGGGCGACGGGAAATCAGATTTCGCGCCTGTGCCCTCATTGGCCGGCGCGGCGGCGCGAGGCCTCCCCGGATTGGCCGGCGCGGCGGAGAGGCGCGCGCGGGCCGTCCGTCCGTCCGTCCGCCCGTCCCAGCCATGAACTGCCTGACCGTGCCCGGTGTCCACCCCGGCTCGCCCAGCCGCCCGCGGGGACAGATCCAGGTACCGGCGCGGGCCGGCGCCGCCCGGGGGGTGCACCGGCACCGGGTGGGGCGATGGGGCTGTCGAGGGGCTGCAGCGGCGCTGGGCGGGGGGTGCCGGTGGTCCCGGGGGCGGCACCGGGCCGGGCCAGTACCGGGCGGGGGTGCCGGGGGGGCTGCACTAGCACCGGGCAGGCCCCCGCCCCGCGGCGCTCCCGCCCGCTGACCCCCTGGTTCTGCCCCCCCAGGTGATCTTCGGGCCCATGTTCTCCGGGAAGAGGTAGGCCCGCGGCGCGGCGCGGGGGGGGCCGGGGCGCCGGCGGCCCGCGGCCGGCTGACGGTGGTCTCTTGCAGCACGGAGCTGATGCGGCGGGTGCGGCGGTTCCAGCTGGCCCAGTACCGGTGCCTGCTGGTGAAGTACGCTAAGGACACGCGCTACGGGTCCTCCGGTGTCTCCACGCACGACAGGCAAGTCCCGGGGGCGGCAGGACCCACCCCCGCGGGTCCAGCAGCTCGGCTGCCTCGTTCAGCGTCGTCTTCTCCCTTCCCCGCAGGAGCACCATGGAGGCTCTGCCAGCCAGCCTGCTCAAGGACGTGTACCAGGAGGCCCTGGGCTCTGCGGTCATCGGCATTGACGAGGGCCAGTTTGTGAGTGCACGGCCAGGGCAGGCCCTGGGGGTCTCTGCACAGCAGCCTGTGCAGGCGAAACTCTGAGCCCCCTGTAGCACTGGGTGGGAAGAAATACCCTGGGGCAGTTCGATCCTGCTGGATGTGCTCGTACAGGCAAACCCTTCCCTTCGTCCCTGCAGGCTGAGGTGCAGTGGTACTGGAGCCATTTCACCCACAGGCAACATGGCTTTAATTTTCTTTCTGCCCCGTGCCGTCATCTGGATACGTGCTGCTGGATCCTGAGCAAAGTGCTGCCCCTTCTTCCTCCTGACACTGTTTCTGCACCTCCTCTAGTTCCCAGACGTTGTGGAGTTCTGTGAGATGATGGCCAATGCTGGGAAAACTGTCATCGTTGCTGCTCTTGATGGGACTTTCCAGAGAAAGGTAAACCCCTCTTTTTTTTGGTACAGCAGCTGCTTTGGGATCCTTGTAGAACCCATCCAACAGAACCGCCCCCGCTGTCTTGGCACAGGCCTTCGGGAGCATCCTGAACCTGGTGCCACTGGCGGAGAGCGTGGTGAAGCTGAACGCCGTGTGCATGGAGTGCTACCGAGAAGCCTCCTACACGAAGAGGCTGGGAGCAGAGAGGGAGGTGAGTTCCCTTGGGACAGAAAGCTTCGCCTTGCCAGCCCTGCTACTCTAGAAGGATCTCCTCGGGGGCATTGGGCTCTGCAGAGTCACTCTCCTGATTTTCTTGCCAGGTTGAAGTGATTGGAGGAGCAGACAAGTACCACTCTGTTTGCCGAGCCTGCTACTTCCGCAAGCGGTCTCAGCAGTCTGGGTCCGAAAACAAGGAGAACATGCCCATAGGGGTGAAGCAGCTTGACGTGGCTGCCTCCCGCAAGATCTTTGCTTCTTGACTGCTGGGTTCCCGCATGGGGAAAAACAAGAGGAAGGAAGGAAGCTAAGTGCCACAGCTCCCAGACGCTAGATCTGGCTTCCTCTGCTTTTAGCAAAACTTAAGTGTCTTAGCTCTACCTGCCAAACCAAGCCGCTGTTCCTCTGCACCGAGCACCAGGAAAGGGGAGAATCAACCGGACCTGATGCCGGGGGGGAGGGGGAAACTGAAGCAGGAGCCCAACTAAAAGTGAGTTTCTTTCTCGGAATGCGAAAAAGACAGCGCTGTAGTTACTGATGCTGCCACACAAACAGGTCCTGGAAAACTCACAGCAAGCCAGGCTGCAGCACTTCCATCGCTCGCCAGAGTTCTGGCTGGCTCTCCTGGTCTGCTGCCTGTGTCCAGACTGGCACTGGTGGCTGGTTCACTTGCCTGTGAACGCAACCGTCTTTTTCTCTTGTGTGCTGTTGCAAAATTCCAGGTTTCTTAAGACAATGTGCAGTAACTTAGTATTTTAAACCCACTTCCTTTTCTTAATGCAGTCTGAGGAGATAACCGAGCCCTTGTAGTAGAGCTGTGGCACAACTTTTCAACTGACAGTGGTAGCAGCAGCTTGGCCCTCAGCAGTCCCTTTGCACAATTGTGCGTGGCCTGTCCGTTTGCCATTACGCTCACTTGCTGTAACTGTCTTTTAATTTTTTGTTGAAACAAAAGAGGAGGAAAGGAAGGCTTGACTTGACGGCCAACAGTGAGCTCCTCCTAGCTCTTGAACTTCAAAAGGGCTAGCAGTAGTAGTCTGTATTAAGACAGAATCCTTCTGGAAGAACAAGGCTTCACTTTAGGACAAGCCTCTTCTCCAAAACCAGGGCGGTTTTGCTCAAGTCCAAGTTTGAGGCTGCCACTTTAGTGTTCATTTACCCGTGAAGGGTTTGGAGGCTCAGGATTTAATCTGTAAAGGTTTGGGCTACTCTTCTGTGAAGATCCAGCTACTTGGAAAAGGGTCTCTGCTTTAAGTGGGTGGTTCTCGACTCTAGTCATGTATCTTGCTTCCTCCTAAGCCTCCCAAAAATTCTCGAGGCTGGTTCTTCCTCTGCTGTAAGTTTATTGAAGGATCCTCTTGCCCCTTTGCTTGACTTGGCTTCTGGAAGGGTTCTGTTTTTTTTTTTTTTTCACTCTTGCAAAAGTGCTTTTCCTTGTAAGCCAGCATCCACGAGCTCCAAGCAGTAGCTCTTGGTTCTGGCCAGGTCAAATCTCCATGCACAAATGCAGTGTGCTCTGTTTGCTAGGAGCAGGCACCTCCCTAGAAGGTTACAAGAGCTGTCTGAAACCCCTGCTCCCTCTGTGATGCTTGAAGTGATGACAGTTGTAGGGCTTGTGAGTACTTGGTTGTCAGGCCTGGGCTTTCTTTCCCCCTAGGGACAGGGAAGGCAGCACTGCTACTGGTTTAGGTCAATAAATAACTTAATGAAATTGTTTGTGTGTGTTTTATAGCAGACTGCTCTGAAGAGGCTTCCCTGCAGTGAGCAGTGCAAACAGTGCAGGCAGATTGCACATAGCAGCGGCCTGGGCTGGGCGCAGGGGTGGCGTTGGGAGCTCTCTGCTCAAACCTTCCACCCAACAGACTGCAGGGAGCAGGAGGAGGGCTTGCCTAAAAATAGACGCCAGCATGAGTGTGCTGTTTGCAGCGCAGCAGTTGGCTGGGGCTGCTCTGCCACTTCCCCGCCTGGAACTCCCAGCCCTCAAGGAGGGAGGAGGAACCCTGTTTTGCATCCCCAGAGAAGAAAGGCACGTGGTGGCTAGGTGAAAAACTTTATTCCATCTCTACAGTGACAAACAACTATTTGAAGGCCTGGCCCAGCAGCGACAGCTCACCCATAGCGCACGCTGCTGCTGGGAACAGCTTCACAACAGCCGCAGCAGAAAACATAACCTGAGACAGCCGGCCCGCACAGGCGCCGAGCGGCACCGCGGCGTCAGCCAGGCGCAGGACGGTGTCGCTTTGGCAGGGGTGAGCGAGGGGGCTGAGCACCCAGTCGGCAGGGAAAGCGCTCCCGGCCCTTCCTCGGGCACCTGGAGCAGCTGTGGCCCCGCAGAGAGAGCCCAGCGCTCCCGCACCGCGTCACCCGCGCACCGGCTGGGGGAAGGCACAGCACGGGAGTTCACAGGCGAGAGAAGACAGGGCTTTGGCATCAAATTCACCCAGCAGCAGCCGCGGGGGAAGGCACGGGAAGCCGGCAGCGGGCAGGTGCTGGACCGGTTGGCTTGTGCTATGGCAGCGAGAGCTGGCACTCGAGGGGTCGCAGCCGGGGGCTGGGAAGGCACCAGTGCCCCTGGGCAGGGCAGAGCTGGGGGGTGTGACCCACACACCCACCCCCCTGCTTCCCCCCCAGGGCAGGAGCTCAGCCTCAGGGCAGCCCCCCGCCCCCCCTCTACCTACACCCACACCCCCCCACCCCCTACACCCCCCCCCAAGCTGCACTCAGCAGTTGCAAATCACCCGAATCACCCACCACAGGCCGGGCTCTGGGTCCCAGCAGCAGGATCAGGCCCTTCCTGCGCCCCAGCACCGAGGCCCGGTGGCCTTCACACAAAGCAGCCGCCACCCCCCCCCCCCACCCCACCTTGCTTCACGGCGCAGGTCCCTCCCCTCCCACCCCACAGAAAATTGCACTGGTACAGCCGTCCCCGCCGGGCCGGGGCTCAGTACACCGGCGGGGGCTGGTACCCCTCCGGGGCTTCTGCCGTGTGGGTGAAGGGCGGCTGCTGGTAGCTCTCGTGGCTGATGTTGGGGTAACTGGAGTAGGGAGTCGAAACCTCCGGGGTGGGGTCGACATAGCTGTGAGCAAAGTCCTCCACCCCCATTTTGTACCTCTTGTAAGCGAAGGCGATCAGGAGGCCCTAGAGAGAGGAGGGGACCGGCAGTGTCAGGGCTGCGCGGCCCAGGGGGCCCCTCCCCAGCCCCCCCCGAGCGGGGCAGGGCCGGGCCCCACCGCCCTCACTCACCCAGGAGAAGATGGAGAAGAAACTGAAGGTGATGGCGGCGCGGGCCGAGTCAGCCCCGACGTGCACGTCCTTAGCCTGCGTCCAGGCCCACTGGTTGGTCAAGAAACAAAAGCCAATGAACCACAGGAACGTCCAGAGACCTGGGGGCAGGGGGGGGGGGGGAAGGCAGCGTTGAGGGGCCGGACCCCGCTCCCCCGGGGGGCGGTGGGGACCAGCGCAGGCGCCCGGCCCGATGCAGCCCCCCCCCGTGCCGCCGCTCCTCGGAGCGCTTCCAGCGGGCAGCGCGCCAGGCGGGAGCGACTCCCTTCGCCAGGCACCGGCAGCCACGTCACGGCACCAGGGCTGCCAGGCGGCAGCCCGGCCCCGCGGCCGCCCGCACCTGAGAAGCCGAGGTCGGCCAGGACCAGGTACTTGCGGTCGGTGGTGTTGCTGATCCGGGGGAAGTAGACGTCCACCACGAAGAAGAAGATGCAGGCGAGGAAGGCGAGGACGCCGATGCCGATGCCGTAGCGGCAGGCGTCCTCGTTGTGGTTGAAGATGCAGAAGAGCTGGGGGGAGCTGGGCAGGTTGGTGTAGCCCTCCCCGACCAGGCAGGCGAAGACGATCAGGGCGAAGACCTGCGGAGAGGGGAGCGGGTGTCCGGCGGGCAGCCCCGCGGCGGCGGGGACCCTTCCCCGAGCTGGGGGCACCGGCCCGGGCTCAGCCCAGCGCCCCCCGCCGCCGCCGGGGGGGGGGGGGGGGGGGGTGCCGTCCCGGGCCCCGCGGGCTCCGGGGCCGCTCCGCAGCCCGGCCCGGCGGAGCTCGCCCGGCCCCGTCCCGCCCCGACTCACCGCGCTGGCGATCCGCGCCAGGACCTGCGGCTGCTGCACGAAGCGGGCCAGGTCGAAGGCCCCCCCGGCCTTGGCCGCCCCGTACGCGCCGCCGCCGCCGCCGCCCTCCATCGCCCCGGAGCCGCCGCCGCGCTCCCACCGCTCCTGCGCGGCACCGCCCCGGGGCGGTCCCCGCTGCCGTCGGGCCGGGGCGGGCCGAGCTCTGCCCCGGCGGCACCGGCTCTGCCCCGCCCGCCCGCCGAGCGCCGCGCCGGCCCCGGCCCCCCGGCTCTGCCCTCCCTCCCCCGGTGCCGCGGCGGCGCGGCCCCAGCGCCGTGGGACGGGACGGGACGGGACAAGACGGGTTGCCGGCCGGCCCCACGCCAGCCCCACGCGGTTCTCCTGACGCGCTTTGTGCCGTGGGTCAGGCCCGAGCCCGCGGGCTCCCGGCGGCGGGTCCCGGTGAGCGCGGCCGGAGGGGGCAGGGGGGCTCTGCGAGCGCTGCTCCCGCCGCCCCCTCGCCCCGCACCGGGAGGGGGGCTGGGCTGGGCTGGGGGGTCGGTGCTACCCGCTGGTGGGTGGGGCGGCTTCGCACCCACGCGGGCCGCGGCGCTTGGCCGGTGCCCGGTGCGGGCGGAGGCGGCGGGAGCCCCGGGACGCGTCTCCGTCGGTTCCTGGTACCGGGGCGGGCGAGGGGACACCGGGCCGGGGGCGGGCGTGGGAGCTTGAGTCCGTCCCGGGAGGGCGGAGGGGGCGGAGGGGGAGGCGGGAGGGGAGGAAAGCGAAAGCGCCGGGGCACCGGCGGGAGCGAGGCAGCTCTCCCGCCCCGGGACGGCGCTGGCGGGGGGGGCACAGGGGTCGGTGCCGCGGCGGGGCCCGCCCGGTACGAGCTCCCCCCAAGCGGGCAGGAGCTGCTGAGCGGAGCCTGCGCCGCCTCCCCCACCATCCCGCCCTTCCTTCCTGCCGCCGCCGAGGCGGCGGGGCCTTAGCGCTAGTCCCGGGTTTAGTCCCGGGTTTAGCCCCGCAGCCCCCTGCGCTCCCACCTGCAGCAGCTCCGACTCCATCCCTGTCCCCAGGGTGGGCAGCACCCCGCGTGCCTGGGGCAGCCGTGGGTGTTGGGGTGACGTTGGGGCCGACTGACGCCCGTCCACTCTCTGTGACAGGGCAGCGGTGCTGCAGGGACCCCCTCGACCCCAGCACCATGTCCCAGCCGCCCTCCTTTGCCGTCCGCGTCCCCGAGGACACTGACAGCGATGGGTGAGTGTGGGCCTGCCCTCCCGCTGCCCAAACCGTGCCCCCGAGGGCCTGCAGCCTCAGTCACACGGGGCTGGTGGTCCCGTGGCAGGAGATCCAGCTGGCACCGGGTACCCGTGCCACGGGGCGGCACGGCCAGGCTTTGGACTGGCACCAGGGCTTTGCCACGGCCCCGGTGCCCAGCCCAGCCTTGGGTGAGCAGCTCTGTGTCCCTGCAGCCAGGAGCCGAGCCCAGACAACGAAGGAGCCCTGCACACCTCCTTCCACCAGCTCATCCAGGAGCAGAGCAGCTTGGTCGAGGCGGGTCTGGAGCTGGAGATGCAGGCGAGGGACAGAGGTAACGCGCTGCGGCCACAGCCGGGGTGGGACAGGGACAGTGTGTGTGCCCAGGGCTGTCTGCCATCCCAGACCCTGCCCGGGCCAGCTGGGGCTCCTGCTGAGCCTGCGGCCAAAGCGCTTGTAGGAGCCCGCTGATGCCTTCGCCAGCGCAGGCAGCAGGGCAGACCTGCCCCTGGGGACACGGAGAACGTCCCTGGAGAAGGGGGTGCTCCGGGGGGAGCGCACACCGGGGCAGGCACCATGCCAACACAGGGCAGCGGGGCCGCAACGACTGGAGCTGTGGGTGCTGCGGCTCTCACTGCCCTGCGTCCTGCCCTCCCTCTCTCAGAGCACCCGGCTCTCCTGGCCCCCCCAGACACCCGGGCTGTGGCGAGGTTGGAGCCCAGGCAGGGCGAGCAGCACCCCAGTTACTCCTCTGCCTCCCTGCGCATCCTCGCCAGCATGCCCAGCCGCACCATCGGTAGGTGCCACCGTCCCTCCTGCCCTTCCCCAAGCCCGGGAGCCCCTCGGGAGAGCTCCCCCCCCCCCCCTTGCTTTCCCGTGGCCGCCCACCCCCCCCGCCCTGCTCTCCCCCGCAGGTCGCAGCCGCGGGGCCATCATCGCCCAGTACTACAACCGCACAGCCCGGCTGCGGCGCCGGAGCAGCCGCCCACCCCTGCAGCAGCTCTGCCGCGCGGCACGGCCCAGCCTGCGCCAGTACGACCTGGAGACCGACCCTGCCACGGCCACGCTGGAAGGTGAGGGTCCCCTGGGAGTGGGAGCAGGCAGGGCAGGGCACTGTCCCCACGCCGGGTCCTGGCTGACCGCGTCCCGCTGGGCCCCTTGTGCCCCCAGAGAAGCGGAACCTGCTGGTGAAGGAGCTGCTGAGCCTTTCGCCCAGCCAGTGCAGCCACATGCTGCTCAGCGTGCCCCTCAGCCTGGCAGAGAAACGCGCCCTCCGGTAGGTCCTGTCCCGCCGGCTCCCACAGCCGGAGCCGTCCTGGGGCCCGTGCCACCCTCTGACATCCCTGTCTGCCGGGCAGGCAGGAGCTGAGCGGGCAGCGGGGGCCCCCGAGGCAGCACGCCCAGCACCAGCCCCCCTCCTCTCCCTGCGGGTGGTCCAAGGAGCACATCGTCCTCGTAAGTCCGGGGCCAGCTCTGCCCAGCAGCCATCGGGGGCTCCGGTGCAGGCTCCGGCCCCGGTGCTCTCTCCAGGCTCCCTCTCCCCAGGGCTGCCGGGGCCTCTGGTACAGGCTCCTCTCCCTGCTCCCCGCCGCGCAGCCCTGGCACTACGCCCTGAAGCAGATCAGCGGCCGATTCGGCTCCAGCGTCCTCTCCTACTTCCTCTTCCTCAAGACGCTCCTTATGTTCAACATCATCTCATTCCTCATCCTCCTGGTCTTTGTGGTGGCCCTGCAGGCTGCGTATCCCCCTGCCTCGGCCAACCCCCAGCCCTTCACCGGCCTCGAGCTCCTCACAGGAGCGGTGAGCACTGCCAGCACACCCGTGCCAGCGCATCCCTGCGCCAGGAGCTGCTCCAAGCCTGGGGCCCTGCCCTGCGTCCCCGCCCCATCCCTGCGTCCCCACCCCAGCGATGTCCCATCCCTGCGTCCCCACCCCAGCGGTGCCCCAGCCCCGCGTCCCCACCCCAGCTATGCCCCAGCCCTGCGTCCCCAGCCCTGCGTCCCCACCCCAGCGATGCCCCAGCCCTGCGTCCCCACCCCAGCGATGTCCCATCCCTGCGTCCCCACCCCAGCGATGCCCCTGCCCTGCGTCCCCACCCCAGCGATGCCCCAGCGATGCCCCTGCCCTGCGTCCCCACCCCAGCGATGCCCCAGCCCTGCGTCCCCACCCCAGCGATGCCCCATCCCTGCGTCCTCACCCCAGCGATGCCCCAGCCCTCGCACAGCCGGGGCCCTGGGAGTGCCAGTGCCGTGGGTGCAGGAGCGGGTGCCTGGTGCTGCCCCAGCCCAGGGCTCTGTGTCCCTGCGGGCTGGCGCAGTTGTGCCGGGCTGGGCAGGGATCCGCAGGCACCAGCGAGGTCACTGCAGGCCGCAGCACGCTCTTTCCCACAGGGCTACTTCACTCACTCGCTGCTGTACTACGGCTACTACAGCAACGTCACCCTCAACGACCCCTGCGCCTCCAGCCCCAATGGCAGCGCGTGCCCCCTCGCAGCCCCCCCGCTCCTCTACAACATGCCACTGGCCTACGTGTTCAGCGTTGGGGTCTCCTTCCTCGTCACCTGCATCCTGCTGGTGCACAGGTGGGTCGGTCACGCCGCCCGCACTGCCAGCCTTCCCCCCCCCCACACCGCTTCGCCCAGCCCTGACGCCCTCCCCCTCGCTGCAGCATGTCCCGCTCCTTTGGGGAGAGCTACCGCGTGGGCAGCTCCACGGGGGACTTGGCGACCAAAGTCTTCTGTGCCTGGGACTTCAAGGTGATCCAGAGGCGCTCAGTGAAGCTGCAGTGTGAGAACATCTGCACCCAGATGAAGGTGAGCTGGGCTGGCGTTGGCCCCTGCACACCCTGTGCCCTGCAGGTGAAGGGGTTGGCAGGAGCCAGCGCAGACCCCAGGGCCCAGCCCCCTGCTCCCACCCACTTCATGGGGGAGCCCTGCAGCTGCAGATTCCCCCCGACCCCAGCCCTGCACCAGCCCTTTCTCCATCAGCCCTCCGGGTCCCACCTGAGCGCAGCAGGACAGGCCCCCGGGCTGGGGGCATGTGCTGCAGCCCTGGCACCGCTCTCTCCCAGGAGCTGCTGGCGGAGCAGCGTTCCCGCTCGCGCTCCCGGAGCCTCTGCCAGCGCCTGGGCCACTCCGCGGTGCTTCTCCTGGCCTGGGCCCTCTCGCTGAGCACGGCGCTGGGCTGCGTGCTGGCCGTGCACTACTTCTGGGAGCACATGCACGCGGTGGGTGCCGCCCCTCGCCGCGGTGGGATCTCCTGCCCTGGTGCCGGGGGGCTGCGGTAGCAGGGAGGGGGGCCGGAGCAGCCCCGTTGCAGCCCCCCCACCCGGGGCGTCGGCGCTGGCTGCCGGCAGCTCACCCCGGTACCCGCTCGCCAGGTTCAGCAGGAGCACCGAGCGCGGGGCAGCGGCGAGCGGCAGCGGGAAGCCATCCTGCTGGTCCTGCCCCTCGTGGTGTCTCTCCTCAACGCGCTGATGCCCCACCTGTACAATTTGCTGGCGACGTGGGAGAAGCAGGACTCCCCCGTGGCACAGGTCTACGTGGCGATCTGCAGGTAGGCTGCCCAGGGCCGGGGTGGAGGGAGCGTCCCGCACCCCCATCTGTGGCGTGGGGGGAGGCTTTGGATGGGGCGCCCAGCCCCTCCCTCCCCAGGGCTCAGGGGTCCCAGCCCTGTTCTGCTCCCCAGGAACCTCATTCTGAAGATGGTGGTCCTCGGTCTGCTCTGCTACCAGTGGCTCAGCCGGAGAGTCGTCTGCTCCACAGAGGAGGTCGGTGCTGCCGTGTGGGGTCAGTGCGAGGAGCCGGCTGGGCCGTGGCATCGCGACCACCCCCGGCCTGGGGGGCGCGGAGCAGAGCCAAGGCTGCCGTGCCGGCACCGGCGGGCAGCAGGAGCGGGGGGTCTGCCGGACAGCACCGCAGGCACTCTCCGCCCCTTTGCTGGGGAGAAGGGGGCAACAGCCGAACAAGGGCACCCCAAATGTGGGGTGGCTGGGGAAAGGGGTGCAAGGGAGGAAAAGGTCCCCCAGCTCCTCACACCCAGTGGGGGCCACGGGGAAGTCATGGGGGTGGAGAGGCCTCACCGACTGCTTGATGCCGCCTTTGCTTGTCTCCCCAGTGCTGGGAGACGTGTGTGGGGCAGGACCTGTATCGCTTCGTGGTGATGGACTTCATATTCACCCTGCTGGACACGCTTTTTGGGGAGCTGGTCTGGAGGTAACGTGCCCCAGGAGGGGTCCCCCCGACCCCTGGCACGGCCCTGGCTCGGCACTGCCCTGGGGCACCCAGGCTCTGCTGCCATCTGAGGGGGAAGATGGGGTGCTGAGCATCCCCCCCAGCAGCGGTGTGGGAGCAGAGCTCTGCTCCTTCCCAGGCTGATCTTGGAGAAGAGGCTGAGGAGGAGGCAGAGGCCCGAGTTTGATATTGCCCGAAACGTGCTGGAGCTGATCTATGGGCAGACCCTGACCTGGTGAGACATCTCCTGCCCAGCGCAGCTCGTTCCTCTGCTGGCAGATGCCTCGTGGTCCCCTGGGAGCCTTGCAGCTGGCAGGGACCAGGCACAGGGAGCTGCAGATTTCACTAGTGGGGTCGTAGGAGACCCCCCTCCAGCCCCACCTGGGTGGGACGAGGGAGGTGGGGTGGCCTGGCAGTCACAGCCCGTGGTGCCGGCACCTCAGAGCCACAGAGCACGGGCTCACCCGGGAGTTCTGGCTTTGGTGGCAGGGTGAGAGCCACGGGGGTCAGCCGTGGAGCATCCCGATGCTGGTCCAGCATCCCCCACCCAGCTGGTCCCCTCCGGAGCTCTGGGGAAGGAGCAGGCTCTGGTGCACACCCCTCTTGTTTTTCCAGACCACAACGGCACTCGCTGCTCTGAGGGGAGCTGCTCCCTTCCAGCCTGGCTGCTCAGGCCCCTGCTTTTCCACACACCCCCACACTGCCTTTCTGCAGCCCCCGGATCTGCTGCCCGAGGAGGGGACCCACGCGTGTGCTGCTGCGCTCCCCCTCGCAACACAGCTGGGAGCTGCAAAGGCCACGGTGGCCCCGGGGTGGGGGTCAGCGAGGTCCGGGGCTGCGCAGCAAGCCTGGCACGGGACGTCGTGTCCTTGCACTTCGCTGTATGAAATCCTGCCCGCTGCCGGTGTGGGTGCCCTGCCGCTGCCCCCAGCGCTGGCCCAGACCCGGGACCAGCTCATCTTCCCCTCCCCTCTCTCCCAGGCTGGGCGTTCTCTTCGCACCCCTCCTGCCAGCCGTGCAGACGCTGAAGCTGCTGCTGCTGTTCTATATCAAAAAGGTGTGAGCCGCCCCCCGCCCTCCCCACCACCGCTCCCGGAGCGTCCCCCCACAGCGGGCAGCCCCGCGGTGACGCCGTGCCCGGCTGCAGACCGGCTCTGCCACAGCCGAGGTGCCGCACCACACCGCGCCGTCCTCACGGGAGTGTTGCTGGGGACGGGGTGTCCCCAGGCTCGCCCAGCTCCCGGCGGGTGGGAGGGATGGGTTGGGATGGCGGGGTGGGGGCAGCTGCCCCGCTTGCACTCATGGGGCCGCGGCACCACGCTCTGCTCCTGCCTGCAGACCAGCCTGATGCAGAACTGCCAGGCCCCCAGCAAGCCCTGGCAAGCGTCTCACATGAGCACTGTCTTCATCACGCTGTGCTTCCCGTCCTTCCTGAGTGCAGCCCTCTTCCTCTCCTACACCATCTGGTCGTGAGTACCCACCAGACCACGGCTTGGGGCAGGGAACCGCCGGCTGCCTGGAGAAGGAGAGAGACTGGGGGACAGCGTGCCTCGCTGGCCCTGGCGGCACGTGGAGCACGTGGTGCCCAGCACAGGGCTGTGCCGCGCCGCTCTGGGCAGGGAGCTGCTGCCCAGCTGCTGGTCGTTGCACAGAGCGTAGCAGCGGTTGGGCTGTGCCCACTTCTCCCAGCTGTTCCCAGATGTTCCTGATGCAGGACAAAGGGATGAGGACCCCCTCGTCCGGCCACTGGGGAGGCTTCATCCCTGGGGGTGGTGGCTGTTGGGGCTGCCCGTCGCTCTGACCAGCCCCATCGGTCTGTCTGCTCAGGGTGCGGCCGTCAGAAACCTGTGGTCCCTTCCAGGGACTGGAAACCATCTACAAGTCAGCGAAGACCTGGGTGCAAGTGCTGGAGAAGTCCAGCCCAAACATCGCCTGGTTTGCCTGGGTGCACCAGCACCTCGTGGAGAACACTTTCCTCCTGTTCCTCATGTCCGGGGTCCTGCTGTGAGTACGGATCCGAGCCTGAGGCCGAGCCCCGGGCCCACGCTGTGAGGGTCCCGCAGAGACAGCCCTGGGAGCTGGGGTGTCACACCAGAGCCCTGCACCCCGGCCCGGTGCCAGGAGCACCCCAACTTCTCGCCCTGGTTAACACCACCCCATCCTGCCTGCCGTTGCAGAGCCGTGATCTACTTCAACATCCAGGTGGTGAGAGGGCAGCGGAGGATCATCCGCCTGCTGAGGGAGCAGATCGCCAACGTGCGTGAGCTCCGCAGACTGCTGGCAGCCCCGGCTGCTCCACACCCCGGCGCAGCCCTGGGGGTGCCAGATTCGGGCTGTAGCCCCGACAGCGCTGCCACCTCGGGCGTGCAGGAGCACGTCCCGGGGCTGCTCACTGCAGTGTCTCTGCTGTTGCAGGAAGGGGAAGATAAAACATTCCTCATTCAGAAGCTTTACTCCGTTTATGAGCAGAGAGAGAGACGCGCCTGAGTCCCAGGTGAGGCCTGCGGGAAGGGGAGGGGGGGCTGCCGGGGTGCTCGGAGCTCGGCCGGGCACGAGGACATTCCCGTGCTCCGTCCTGGAGCAGCACTGCCAGGGCCAGCCCCGCTGCAGTGGGCGCAGGAGATGGTGGGGTGAGCCAGGCCTTTCGTTTTCCATCGCTCGGCTGGCACCAGCGGCAGCGTGGCTGGCTCAGCCGGCGGCTGGGGGTGCCGGGGTGATGCCCGGGCTGCCCCCCGTACCCAGCCTGTCCCGGGGGACACTGGATCCCCGGTGCTGTTGCGGCCCAGGGATGGCACCGGCTGCCCGCAGAGCCAGCGCAGGGACAGGGAAGGGGATGGGGACGTTTCGAGAGCTTCCTTCCTCTCCACTTTCAGTGTGGGGCGGTGCTGCCTGCCCCCAGCAGCAGACACTCGGGGTCTCAGGGACTGCATCTCTCCTCTCCGTGTCGGACTCTCCACGAAGGAGCTGGACAGGACCAGACTCTGCTCGCAGCCAGGGACTGGATCCGGCCATCTGTCTGAGCCGTCGCGGCGTGGCACGGGAAGCAGCCGGACTGCGGGGTGCGGGGGAAGATCCTCTCCTGTGGGTTGCAGCGGCCAAGGACCCGTTGGGATACATGGTCTGGCAGCTCCGCGGGGATGCTGTGGCACAGGAACGTGGGTGCTCCCACTGCCCGGAGCTGCTGGGGACGCAGCAGGACCGGGCCCAGGACTGCCATCGCGTCCCAGGGCACTGCTCTGTGCAGGGCTGGCTCGCCAGCAGCACCCTTCTCCGTGGGTGGTTACTGTTAGCAGAGAACAGCTCTGGGCTGTTTTCAGAAGCCTCCAGAGACAGTGAAGCTTTCTGGCTGGAGAGAACCTGCAGCCCCTTTTGCACTGCTCATACCTTCCCCACGAACGAGACCACGCGGGCCCCCCGCCGCCGGCCAGGCAGCCCTGCGGCACACTGTGCCTGCCCGCAGGACAGGCTCAACAAACCCACCATGGTACTGAGGAACCTGAAGGCTCTGGCTCCCTGCCGACCTGGCCCATTAAAGAGTGTCTGCGCAGGAGGGCTCCCAGCTTGTCTGGAAGGGGGCGAGCAGGTTTGGTGCATCAGTGCTGGTTCGGGGTGGTGGCTCGGCAGCTGTGGCCGGGGCTCCCTGGCACTGCCTGCCCCGGGAAGGGCCCAGCTCAGCCCCCACCGCAGGAGCAAGGACCGGTGCCACCTCATCACGGCTGGCCCCAGGAGCCACCACAGCCCCCGGGAGCCGCTCACCGTCGCAGTGTGGTGTCTGCAGCCCCCAGAGCTGCTTCCACCCCCAGCACAGTCAGCAGCCCCCAGCCCGGGGAAGCCGGTTGCCGCCGCGGCACAGCACCGACAGACCCGGGGAGGGTTGTGCCGCAGCGTGTGCCAGGCCCGGGCAGGCACACGTACCCCGGTGACATGGCACTCGTGCCGTGGGGTGAGGCAGCTGCCTGCCCAGCTGGGCTGTGGGCGCAGGACGGGTTATCGGTGTGGACAGACATGGGGTATCAGCGTGGGTGGGTTATCGGTATGGACAGACACGGGGTATCTGCCCAGACCCTGCGCGAGTGCTGGGGAGCAGCCGTGGGCTGGCACTCGCCACAGCTTGTGAGATGTCCCCAGCTGAGGCGCCCCTGCGGCTCAGCCTGCCCTGGCTCCTGACACCCACCCAGGTTCCCCAGTCACCCCCCCGTGCCTTGGCTGGCACAAGGCCCCCGAGGCCAAAGCCGCTGCCAGGACCCCCTCCCCCCCGCCTGCCTCCAGCGCAGGAGTTGTTGCCAGCCCCTGCCCTGCTTAGCCCAGCCCAGGCACCGCTGCACCCCCAGCCCCACCGCCCACGACCACCCCTCCTGTCCCCAGAGATGCCGCCATGGCCCTACGCCAGCACGGTCCGGCCCCGGAGGCTCCTGCTCGTCTCTCCCCCAGAAGAGCTGGGAGTCCCACCCGAGCGCAGGGCAGCCGCCAGCCTGGACAGTACGGTGGAAGTTTTACTGTGCAGTCTCACGGGGATCCTGTCCCCCCGCCAGCCCGTGACCCTGTCCGGGCCCCGCTGCCAGCCCCACACAGGGCAGCTGCTCGGCGGCCACCTCCTTTGGTGACGGGGCTACCGCAGGCGCCCGGGCAGGGTCAGCGGGGGCCCCCGAGGGTGGCCCGAAGCCACTGCAGGACGTCGGCCAGGCCAGTGCCGTCACGGGCGCTGGTGTCCAGCGTCGCGATGGGCTGCGTGGCGCAGGAGATGATGTCCTGCATGCGGAACAGCGACTTCATCTCCACCAGCGACATGTAGCAGGGCAGGTCACTGCGGGGGGGGGGCGGGGGGGGCTCATTAACCCCCCGCAGCAGCTCTGGGGCCCAGCCTAGCCCCCGGCTTGGGGGTCTCCGCAGGCCCAGCGCATCAGGGGAGCGCGGCAAAGTGTGGCTGCCGCCCCCCGGCCACGCCAGGCTTCCTGCTGTGTCAACTGACGGAAGGGACGCGGGAGCTGCTGCAGACCCTCAGCGTGCCTCCCCCGTGCGGGCTGACCCCCCCCCCCCACGGCTTCCTCACATCTTATTGAAGAGAACCAGCACGGGCACGGAGGCGAGCTGCGCTGCGGAGAGGACGGACAGCAGCTGGGCGCAGGACGAGGAGACCTGGGTGGGGTTGGCGGCGTCGACCACGAACTGGAAGAGAAGGGAAAGTGGGGGTGCCCGGGGGCGGCCCCCCCCCCAGCCTGGCCGGGCACAGCCGCGGCGAAACCGCGGGGGGCCAGCGCCGGCCCCCCGCCACGGGCAGCTGCCCGGTGCTCCCCGGGGGCCGTGGCTGGGGGGGGGTCCCCGCCGGCGCGGGGCCGGGGTCCCGGGGCCGCTCACCAGGAGCGCGCCGCAGTCGCCGTAGTAGCCGTGCCAGACGGGGCCCATGCAGCCGCCCAGCTCCCGGAGCGTCACCCGCCGCGGCAGCCGCAGGTCGGTCAGGTCGGTGCCCACCTGCGGGACGGGCGGCTGGGCTGGGGGAGCCCCGGGACCCCGCACCCCCGGGACCCCGCACCCCCGGGACCCCCGCACCCCCGGGAGCCCCGGGACCCCCGCACCCCCGGGAGCCCCGGGACCCCCGCACCCCCGGGAGCCCGCACCCCCGGGAGCCCCGCACCCCCGGGAGCCCGCACCCCCGGGACCCCCGCACCCCCGGGACCCCGCACCCCCGGGAGCCCCGCACCCCCGGCACCCCGCACCCCCGGGAGCCCCGCACCCCCGGCACCCCGCACCCCCGGGAGCCCCGCACCCCCGGGACCCCGCACCCCCGGGAGCCCCGCACCCCCGGGAGCCGGGACCCCCGGGACCCCGCACCCCCGGGAGCCCCGCACCGGCTCCGCCAGCCCCGCCGGGCCCTGCCTACCGTGGGCAGCGTGGCGGGGGGCTCGCCCAGCTCCGCCGGCCCGTCCTCGGTGCTCAGCTGTGCCGCGCGTTAAGGACACGACGGCGCCCGGGACGGGGACGCGGACACACGGGACCGACCGACCGACCGACCGACACCCCCCCGCCCGCCCGGGACCCCCCGGTGCCCCGGATATGACGCAGCCGCCGGGCCAGGAGGCTCTTCCCACCGCCCGCCGCCCCCAGCAGCAGGCACGTGCGCGCCGGACGCCCCCCGCCCGCCATCCCGCCCCGCCCCGCCCCGCCGGAAAGCGGCCACGCCCCCACCGGAAAGCGGCCACGCCCCCGGCGGAAGCCGGAAGCGGAAGCGCCCGCGGAGGGGCGGTGGGGCAGTCCGGGCCGGCGGACGCGATGGGGCGCGGCGGCGGCACCTTCGAGCGGCTCCTCGGTACCGGCCGCGGCCTCCCCGGGGCGGCGGCGCGCCGGGCCTGACGTCACCGAGCGCCCTGGGGCGGCTGAACGCGAAAAGCTGGCGCGTTTTGGGGGGGGGGGGAGTAAAAAAAATGAGGGTTTTTATCCCCGAGTGCGCGGGTGCGGAGCGGCGCTGGCCCAGGCAGAGCGGCCTAATCGGTTTGTTCCTTGCAGATAAAGCCACGAGCCAGCTTCTGCTGGAGACAGACTGGGAATCCATCCTGCAGATCTGCGACATGATCCGCCAGGGAGACACCCAGTAAGTGCTGCCGGGCGAGCGGTGAGCGCAGCTCCGCTCCCTCCGGCGCGGGGGCTCGGAGCCCCCGGCCCGCGGTGGCGCGTGGCGTGCCGCCCCGGTACACCCCGGGGTGCTCCCCTGCGCCCGGGAGTTGCAGGTTACCTCAGGCCTGAAATCCTCGGAGAAGCTCAAGCCTGAACGTGCTTCCGTCCCCAGTTTGCCTCGGGAGAATCACACAGGCCACCAGCTAATTAGCTGCACCCTCGTGTTGGGGTGGGGGCTAGGGGGTTGGCAGCAGCAGGCAGAACCTCCCCTCGGATTCCTGATTACCTGAGGTTGTGTATTCTCTTTTCTTACCCAGAGCAAAATATGCTGTCAATGCCATCAAGAAGAAAGTCAATGACAAGAATCCCCACGTGGCACTCTATGCACTGGAGGTAACGTCAGCCCGAGCGCTGCAGGGCCCCGGCTCACAGGCCAGGCAGCTTCCCCTCTTTTATGAACCGATCTGGGCTGCGCAGCCTGCCCAGCGCTCCCTGCCCACAGAGCGGCTCGGAGTTCGCCTCCTCCTGGCTCAAGCACAGAGGTTTCGTGACTGATCAGCGGGACAGGGGTTTTGTTCTTTGATTCTGTCTCAGAGTTAGGAACGGGCAAAGCTGGAACCTGAGACGCTGTCCCCAGGCGTCTGTCTCTGCACGGCAGAGGTACAACGGCCACCCTGCCGCTGAAGCGTAGCTCACTCTCCACCGTGGTGGTGTGGATTTCTCTGGCTCAACTGATGCCGCCCTAACGCGGCTCGTTGCTTAAATAGTGCCCCCGTCTTGGTGCGCTGGCTGCAGCAACCTGTAATGTCTGCTGGGACTCATCGCGGGCCGCGGAGGGGGAAGAACGTGGCAGACTAATGCTGTCCTTTGCCCTTCCAGGTCATGGAGTCGGTGGTTAAAAACTGTGGCCAAACAGTCCATGACGAGGTGGCCAATAAACAGACTATGGAGGAACTGAAGGAAATACTCAAGGTAAATGTATCTTCTCTTACCATCAGTTTTCGAATGATGTTGGAAAAGAAGCAGCAGCAGGAGAACACGTGTCTGTCCTCTCTTTCATTCCCTTTGTGTAAGGAACAGAAGGGAAACTGTTTAGAAATGCGTTTCAGAAAAGAGCAAGCTGTATTGCATGATATGGAGGGATGAGTGCAGGGAGCTAAGGAGCGCCTGCTAGGGAGAGAAGATGTTGTGAAAGCAAGGGTGATGCGTGGCTACACTGTGAAGGGGTAGGAATATGCTGCAGAGGCCTGGACCGTTTCACAGTAAATGCTCCTGGTTGCATCGCTTTGCTTGGCTTGAGACAGAAAAGGAAAACAGAAGTAATGGTCTGGCAGGTGCACGAAGGACCTGAGCAGCGGTGAGGTGAAATCCCTTCCCATAGTACAGTATGAGACACACAGGAAGGTGAGCAGCAAGGTGAAAACCGGCACAAACTTCCTCTTTATTGTGGCCATTTGGCTGCCCTGTGGAATTGTCTGAGGAGCTTTGCAGGATGTAGACCTGGCTGTTTTCACTGACAGGCCGTTGTCGCAAGCTATCCCTTGCCTGTTTGTTATAGCAAAATGCCTGCAGCAGCTCCAGGTGTCCTTGCACTGGAGACTTCCACAAGTGAAGTGGAAATGGGACCGTCTGTCTCCAGTGCCCAGGCGAGAGCTTATTGGAGTAGTGCTGTTCCTTCCTCACAGCCTCTGTCTTCTGCTGGAAACAGATGACCAGATGACCCAGATACTTGGTGAATGAGCTGGGCGAGTCCCATCATCTCACACACCGTAGCAGGGTGTCTCTCTGCTGTCGTCCTCCTGCTAGGGCTGACTCAGCCTCCATGCAGGATCTTCTGCTGAGATAGGAACCCTGCGGCAATGTGACGGCCAGGTGTGGTAGCACAGCCACTCTGAGTGCTGAGATCAGATCAGGAGATTTTGTGGTTCTCTCCAGTCCTTGTCTGCCTTGGTATTTTCATTACTGCTGCAGACCCACTCTCCTACGCTTGAAACTTTGCTGCTTGTCAGTGCTGGTAAAATGGTCTTGGGTCTGATGATGTGCGGAGTGCAGGATTTTGCCAAGCCTTCTAGCAGTTTGGCGCTCCAGGAACTGTCAGGAAGTCACGCTGTGTGGGCTGAGCTCTCAGCTGAAATTGGAGCTTGACAATGGCCCTCCGCTTCCTGGGGGATTTCTGGAGCAACCGGTCATGTGAATGCGTGATGACTCGGTCAGCTGATGACAGGGCTGCTCTGGGAGGCTGGCTGGGATAGGAACAGGCTTGCCAAGTTTCCTCCAGCTCCTTGAACTGTGATACAACCACCCCTGCCTCCAAAGGGCAGGCTTCCCAGCTGTCCTTACTGCGTCACATCCCGAGACAGCTTTGGGTATTCCTGGGCAGGAGTCTCAGGGCTGGAGGTGCTGACACCTGACACTGACACCCTCCAGACACCCTGAAGCCGTGAGCTTGCGGTGCCCTGTCAGCGCTCGGGTGAGGCAGACTGTGCTGTTCCACCCAGCAGGTAGCTGTAGGTCCCGCAATTTTCTGAGTGTGGGACGAGCAGCTCTCGTGAGGAACTGAACAAAGATGTTGGGCAGGCCGGTGCTCGTGCCCTGCCCCGGGGAGGGGGTGTGCAAGTCTCTGTGGGTGTTTCCTCAAAGCATGGTAACCGCACCTCTTTTCAAGTTGGTCTCTGCTGCTCTGGAGGATGTTTTCTTGTTTGTGCTGGAGCAGGGAAGTGGGGAAGGTGAAGGAGTATTTAGTCCTTGCTATGAATTGTCCTTATTGAAGCTTTCTGACAGTTCTTACCTTGCACAAATACTCTGAAGTCTCCCTTTCCCAGAATGGTATTTCTGGCTTCTCTTCTGGGGGATTCACACCACCCTTTGGGTTTCAGGGCCTTTTTCTCAGATGTGTTTTTTTTGACTCCTCCCTTTCTGTGCAGAGGCAAGTGGAGACAAGTGTCCGCAGTAAGATCCTGTACCTTATCCAGGCCTGGGCTCACGCCTTCCGCAATGAGCCCAAGTACAAGGTGGTGCAGGACACCTATCAGATAATGAAGGTTGAAGGTGAGGACTCTGTGGGTAAAGGTGGGTGTACAGTTGACCAAGCAGCTCTGCTCTGGAGCAGCCTTGCAAGAGAAGGAATGGGTGTCAGGGTGCTGCCCGGTGTTAGCAAAATCTGGACTTGCCATACTAAGCTTTCTCTTGGTGCCTGATACCTCGTGAACCTCTTGGAGTGCCCGAGTCCCACTGCAGAAAGAGGACGGCCCCGTTGTCCCAGGATCAGGGGCTGCCTTGCTCCTGGGCCTGCAGCCCAGCCAGCAGCTAAGTGTTGGCAGTGACACCTGAAAAGCAGGAGCTGCGAATGTTCTTCAGGCAACTGGCAGCAAATCAGCGTGTCCTCTGGGAGGGGATTTGCAGTGGGGCTGTTCCTTCCTCCCAGGCTTTCGTTAGTACTTCCAGGATGGGTCTGTGCTCCCGCTCTCTGACAGAGTGTCAGTGTGGTGCCTTCCCTCTCGTCCCGGGGATGGCAGCGTGCCCTGCGCGGGAGGGGACGCGCTGCTGCCTCTGCCTCTTTCTGTGCACCAGAGCCTCCACGGGCAAAGCCTGGGGGCCCCGGTCCCCCGCCGAGCCGGTGCGGCCACACTCTTGGCATTCAGGAGGTGAGACTCAAAGCCCTGCCTGCCCATGGAGTGAGCTTTTTTCACCCCCATGCTGAGTTCAAGGTCTTGAGAAATAAGCCTTATCCAAAGGGCCCCGATGTCCCTTACAGGTGTATAAGAGAAACCAACAGGGCATTGTCCTGTGCATTTGAGAGCGTGGCTGAGAGCCCAGTGCTTCGCAGACAGCAGCCAGTGCTGTGCGAGCCTTGTCCCTGGGCCTCCTGCAGCAGGAGGATCACTGTTAGTTGTGCCAGAGTAAGATCATGGGCAGGGCAGGTGTGCTGAGCTGGGTCGGGTGCGTGTGGCTGGGACCTGCGGCACGAGGCTGTGGGTGCCGCGGCCTCGCCGTGCCGGAGGAGCCCTTTCACAACGGGATGCTGTCGCTTCTCCCGCAGGCCATGTGTTCCCAGAGTTCAAGGAGAGCGATGCCATGTTCGCTGCAGAAAGGGTGAGCTCTGCTGGCGGGGGGGGAGTTGGCACCGCAGCGCAGACCTCGCGCTCCTGCCCTTTCCTACTAAACCTTCGGCTCCTGCATTCTTCCATTTCATGCAGACGAGAGGCCTTGCTGGGTACCTGCTGCTCCCAGCTGTCAGGCGGGCAGTTCTGGGGTGGTGTACAGCAATTCAGCCTAAAACTACCAGATGGAGGGGAGAATTGACCAGGACAGGGAGTTAGTCTCATCTTGCCCCACTCGGTGGCCTTCCAGAAGCACGGCAGTCTGAGCATGGCAGCAGGGCACTGCTAAAGCGATTGCGGTGCAGACACGTTCCTGGAAAATACCTTGCTGACTGGGGAAGCATCACAGTCTGTGGGAACACGAGAGGAGATAGCTTGGGGGGATTAATATTTCCTGTTGAGATGCAAATGCTTCCAGTCTCCCCCATTCGTGAGGGCGCCTTGGCTAGCCGTAGGAGCCCCTGAAAGGCTCAGTGGGGACACTCTCCTCGAGGCCCTCCTCCCCTCCTTACGCAAGTTCCCTTAACCCCAACAGGCTCCGGACTGGGTCGATGCTGAGGAGTGTCACCGATGTCGAGTGCAGTTTGGCGTTATGACGCGGAAGGTGGGTGCTGCTCCTGCCCCTCTGGGTTCCCCGGTCCCACGCAGCCCCCCGGGACTTGCAGGATGCCCTGAGCCCGTGTGGGAGTGTGTTGGGGCTGGACCGTGCTCCCTGGCCCCTGACAGGGAAGCGCCAAGAGCGTCCAAGTGATGCTGTCTAATGGTGAAGGAGTGTCTTGCTACTGCACTGATGTCTTCGATCCTTTGCAGCATCACTGCAGGGCCTGTGGGCAGATCTTCTGTGGCAAATGCTCCTCCAAGTATTCCACCATCCCCAAGTTTGGGATTGAGAAGGAAGTGAGAGTCTGCGAGCCCTGTTACGAGCATCTGAACAAGTCAGTACCCTTTGTGGCGTGTTTCTTTGCCTGCAACAGCTGGGACTGGGGGGAGAAGCTTGGCCTGGAGCCACCTTTCTGCAGACCAGAGCGAGGGTTTCCTGAGCTGTGCGGGCTGGGCTGGGTTCCCTTCCTTCCTGGGATCGGGGCTTACAGCTGCAGTGCTGTGCAGAGCTGGGGCTCCAGAGCGGAGGAAGGAGCACTCAGTCTGCACTGTTGCCTCTTTCTGACTCCAGGAAAGCTGAGGGTAAAGCTGCTGCCACCTCCGAACTGCCCCCAGAGTACCTGACCAGCCCCCTCTCTCAGCAGTCCCAGGTGAGTGGCAGCCCTGGAGGTGATCTGGTGATCCTGACCTGCGTGTCGATCCCTTTACTGACCACCTCCTCATCCTCCCACTTGCAGCTGCCCCCAAAGCGTGACGAGACGGCTCTGCAAGAGGAGGAAGAGCTCCAGCTAGCTATTGCCTTGTCTCAGTCAGAGGCCGAGGAAAAGGAGAGAATGGTTCGTGCCCTGCTTGGCATTGGGAGCGGCGGTTGCCGTACAGCCCTGATGTGCTGGGCATCCCCTAGCTGTGTGGTAACAGATCTCCAGGCATGTCCTGGCGTGAGCGAGTCACAGGGTCTGTGGAACAAGAGGGTGGAAGTGGACTCAGGCACATGCTGTGCTGAAGTCCTGAATCTTGGAAGCAGGCTATGCCCAAGCTGCAAGCCCTGTGGCACGCCGGCCTGTGGGAGTTGCTCAGAGCGTCAGGCTGGGTCTGCCAGCCGTGCCTGGCCATTGCCAGGAGCCTCGCCCACCCAGTGTGTCCAGCCTGCTGCTGACTGGGTGATTTGGAGGAGTCTGGACAGTCCCTGAGTTGACTGTTTTTTCTCTTTTGCAGAGGCAGAAAACAACCTACTCCATGTACCCGAAGGCTGAGCCCACACCCGTCACATCATCAGCTCCCCCGGTCAGCACACTCTATTCCCCACCTGTGGTACGTTCACAGGAGCCCCTGAACGTGGAGTGGCTGGATGCAGGACCCTTCCCTAGCCTGAGTCTGCCCTGCTTGGGTCAGATTTAATCCCTGTTCTGTGAGAAAAGATTTGCCCCGTTCAGTCCCTTGCTCTTTCACAGCACGAGGTCTGTACTCGGGTGGCATTTCAGTGCCTCCGCTGCTTCCCGCAGCTGCGGCATGTGTCTGGCTAAAGGAGACAGCTGTCCCCTTTCGGTGTTTTGGTGCTCAGCACTGGTGGCTGTGCGTGGCCAGGTCTGCGCAGGACATCTGTGTGGGAGCCATGAGCCTCTGCTTTCTCTGAACCGGCTTTCCCTGTCTGTCTCTTTCCAGAATTCCTCTGCTCCCCTGGCTGAGGACATTGACCCGGAGGTAAGGATCCAGGCCTTACGAGTCCACGGCACAGGCTCACTCCCAGCGTGGCCGCGATGCTCATCTTTCTTCTCTTTCTGGCAGCTGGCTCGGTACCTGAACCGCAACTACTGGGAGAAGAAACAAGAGGAAGTTCGCAAGAGCCCCACCCCGTCAGCACCTCTGTCCCTCTCAGAGCCCGCCGCTCAGCCTGGGGAAGCCCACCCTGCCCCGCTCAGTGTTGTTGAGGTAAGAGGGGCCCTGGACCTCTGTCTGGCAGCTTCTGAGGGGTGAGAAGTGCCCGGCTCCTTCTCCCAGCCCAGTCATGCCGCTCTGCAGGCTTGCTGCTGGCTCTCGGCACGGTGGAGTTGAGGCTGACTGGCTGCCCTGTCCTTCCAGCAGCAGTACCAGAACGGCGAGTCCGAGGAGAACCACGAGCAGTTCCTGAAGGCGCTGCAGAATGCGGTCACCACGTTTGTCAACCGCATGAAGAGCAACCACATGCGGGGCCGCAGCATCACCAATGACTCCGCTGTGCTGTCCCTCTTCCAGTCCATCAACAACATGCACCCCCAGCTGCTGGAGCTGCTCAACCAGCTGGACGAGCGCAGGCGTACGTGGGAGCTGCCCGGCCGTGGGCATGGGTTGGAGCGGGCGGTGGCGGGGGCTTCCCCCAGCGCCCGGGTTCGGTGTTCCCGTCAGCCTCTCCGGAGAGAAGCCAGGGTGGTCCGAGCGCTCTGCCCCAAGGGGGTCCCTGACGCTGCCTCTCCCCCTCCCCAGTGTACTACGAAGGCCTGCAGGACAAACTGGCCCAGATCCGGGATGCGCGTGGGGCTCTGAACGCGCTGCGGGAGGAGCACCGGGAGAAGCTGCGCCGTGCAGCTGAGGAAGCGGAGCGCCAGCGCCAGATCCAGCTGGCCCAGAAGCTGGAGATCATGAGGCAGAAGAAGCAGGTGAGGAGAAGCGTTTCCAGGGCACTCAGGGCTGCATCCGCCAGCGGGCCTGCCTGCACCGTGTGCCCGCCAGCGGTGCCGCGGTGTTGTGGCTTCTAGCCATCACGGCGCTGTTCCCACAGGAGTACCTGGAGATGCAGCGTCAGTTGGCCATCCAGCGCCTGCAGGAGCAGGAGAAGGAGAGGCAGATGCGCCTGGAGCAGCAAAAGCAGACCATCCAGATGAGAGCCCAGATGCCAGCCTTCTCGCTGCCTTATGCCCAAGTACGGCTGCCGGGCCAGAGACCCGCCAGGTGCCAGGGAACAGGGCCTCAAGCTTGCTTTTCTTCCCTCAACAGCTCCAGGCCATGCCCGCAGCCAGTGGGGTGATCTACCAGCCCTCTGGGCCCACCAGCTTCCCCGGCACCTTCAGCCCGGCGGGCTCCGTGGAGGGCTCTCCCATGCACAGCGTGTACATGAACCAGGCAGCACAAGGGGGCACGGGGCCGTACACCGCGATGCCCGTCGCGGGGACAGGTACGCGGGCGAGCTGATCCCCCGTGGGCGGAGGCCGAGCGCAAGGTGGTTGCTTCAGCCTCTGCTCTCTCTGCCCCAGATCCCAGCATGGTGAACGCCTACATGTACCAGCCCGGGGCCGGCGGCGGGCAGGCGGCTCAGCAGGGGCAGGCAGTGCCCACCACCACACCGGCGTACTCGTCCTACCAGCCAACTCCGACGCAGGGCTACCAGGCACGTGAGGGCAGAGCAGCCCGTGGCTGGCTGGGGTGGTTCAGCTCCTCTCCCTGACACGGGATCGCCGAGCGGGAGGGAGAAAGGGCCAGTTGCTCCCTGATCTCTGGATCCACTTTCACTGCGGAGTGGGTTGGGGTCAGCCGGTTCTGGGCTCCCCGTGGCGTGGAGGGAAGATGACAGGCTGGGCTCAGTGGCATGGGGAGAGTGGTTGCTGGTCCTGGGGTGTTGGTTGGAGGGGAACTGCCACTGCCTGCACCCCCTCTCACCAGCCTCTCCTCCCCAGAGTGCAGCCTCACAGTCGCAGAGCATCCCGGCCATCTCCCAGGCCCCCCAGTCGGGCGCCATGGGCTACATGGGCAGCCAGTCGGTCTCCATGGGCTACCAGCCCTACAGCATGCAGGTGAGTGCTCCCAGCCACGCCGGCCCCTTCTTGGGCACAAGGGGCAGGTGGGTTCCAGCCCCCCGGAGCCTTCCTGCCCCCCATGACAGCCCCCCTTTCCCCCCCAGGGCCTCATGTCCACCCTGCCGGGCCAGGAAGCCGCGCTGAGCAGCCTGCCTGCCCAGCAAACGTACCTGCCTGGGCAGCAGCCCCTCTACCAGCAGGTGAGGGCTGCCGGCCTGGGGGGAGGGGGGGGGATCGGGGTCCCCAGGGCAGGGATCGGGGGGATCGGGGTCCCCGGGTGGGGTCAGGGTCCCCAGGGCAGGGATCGGGGGGATCGGGGTCCCTGGGGGGGTCAGGGTCCCCAGGGCAGGGATCGGGGTGATCGGGGTCCCTGGGGGGGTCAGGGTCCCCAGGGCAGGGATCGGGGGGATCGGGGTCCCTGGGTGGGGTCAGGGTCCCCAGGGCAGGGATCGGGGGGATCGGGGTCCCTGGGTGGGGTCAGGGTCCCCAGGGCAGGGATCGGGGTCCCTGGGAGGGTCAGGGTCCCCAGGGCAGGGATCGGGGTCCCTGGGTGGGGTCAGGGTCCCCAGGGCAGGGATCGGGGTCCCTGGGTGGGGTCAGGGTCCCCAGGGCAGGGATCGGGGTCCCTGGGGGGGGGTCAGGGTCCCCAGGGCAGGGATCGGGGTGCCCGGGTGGGGTCAGGGTCCCCAGGGCAGGGATCGGGGCGATCGGGGTCCCCGGGTGGGGTCAGGGTCCCCAGGGCAGGGATCGGGGTCCCTGGGGGTTCAGGGTCCCCAGGGCAGGGATCGGGGTCCCTGGGGGGGGGGTCAGGGTTCCCGGGGCAGGGGTCGGGGTCCCTGGGGGTTCAGGGTCCCCAGGGCGGGGATCGGGGTCCCTGGGGGGGTCAGTGTCCCCAGGGCAGGGATCGGGGGGATCGGGGTCCCCGGGTGGGGCCATGGTCCCCAGAGCAGGGATCGGGGTCCCTGGGGGGGGTCAGGGTTCCCGGGGCAGGGGTCGGGGTCCCTGGGGGTTCAGGGTCCCCAGGGCAGGGATCGGGGGGATCGGGGTCCCCGGGTGGGGTCAGGGTCCCCAGGGCAGGGATCGGGGTCCCCGGGGGGGGTCAGGGTCCCCAGGGCAGGGATCGGGGTTCCCGGGGGGGGGTCAGGGTCCCCAGGGCAGGGATCGGGGTGCCCGGGTGGGGTCAGGGTCCCCAGGGCAGGGATCGGGGTCCCCGGGGGGTTCAGGGTCCCCAGGGCAGGGATTGGGGTCCCCGGGTGGGGTCAGGGTCCCCAGGGCAGGGATCGGGGCGATCGGGGTCCCTGGGGGGGTCAGGGTCCCCAGGGCAGGGATCAGGGGGATCAGGGTCCCCAGGGCAGGGATCGGGGGGATCGGGGTCCCTGGGTGGGGTCAGGGTCCCCAGGGCAGGGATCGGGGTCCCTGGGGGGGTCAGGGTCCCCAGGGCAGGGATCAGGGTCCCTGGGTAGGGTCAGGGTCCCCGGGGCAGGGAACGGGGTCCCCGGGGCAGGGATCGGGGTCCCCGGGTGGGGTCAGGGTCCCCAGGGCAGGGGGGGGGGTCAGGGTCCCCAGGGCAGGGATCGGGGGGATCGGGGTCCCCGGGTGGGGCCATGGTCCCCAGGGCAGGGATCGGGGTCCCTGGGGGGGGGTCAGGGTTCCCGGGGCAGGGGTCGGGGTCCCTGGGGGTTCAGGGTCCCCAGGGCAGGGATCGGGGTCCCCGGGTGGGGTCAGGGTCCCCAGGGCAGGGATTGGGGGGATCGGGGTCCCCGGGTGGGGTCAGGGTCCCCAGGGCAGGGATCGGGGTCCCTGGGGGGGTCAGGGTCCCCAGGGCAGGGATCGGGGTCCCCGGGTGGGGTCAGGGTCCCCAGGGCAGGGATCGGGGTCCCTGGGGGGGGGTCAGGGTCCCCAGGGCAGGGATCGGAGTGCCCGGGTGGGGTCAGGGTCCCCAGGGCAGGGATCGGGGCGATCGGGGTCCCCGGGTGGGGTCAGGGTCCCCAGGGCAGGGATCGGGGCGATCGGGGTCCCCGGGTGGGGTCAGGGTCCCCAGGGCAGGGATCGGGGGGATCGGGGTCCCTGGGGGGGGTCAGGTTCCCCGTGGCAGGGATCGGGGTCCCTGGGGGGGGGTCAGGGTTCCCGGGGAGTGCATTCCCTAACAGACCTGCCTCTTCTCTTGCAGATGGCACCCGCCGCAGGGCCCCCCCAGCAGCCGCCGCCGCAGCCGGCGCCCACCCCGGCGCAGCCGCCCCAGGGCAGCGGCGAGGCCCAGCTCATCTCCTTCGACTGACGGCGGCCTGGCCGGGCGCGGGGGGTCCCGCGTAACCCTGCTCCTCACCCCGCATCCCTCGTGTCCTTCACCTCCTCCCCCCGCCCCCGCCCCGGGGCTGCGGGCGCGCTCGGCCCCGAGCAGCCGGGCGGTTCCCCAGCCTCGCCCGGCCCGGCGGGGACCAGCGCTCCCGGCGCCCGCCCCGCGCTGCCCCGCACCCCCTTCCCCTGGCCGCGCCTCTCCCCGTCCCCGCGGGTCCCTGCCCGTTCGCGGCGGGGCGGGGGGACACCGAGCGCGAACGGTGATAATAAAGTGTCCGAACGAGCTGCGGCCCGGTGTGCTGGCGGCCGCGGCGCCTACTGAGACGAGCGAGTCGCGCGGCCTCCCGCCGGCTAGAGCGCCGCCTCCCCGCGCTCCGCCCCGCCGTACCATCGAGCCGCGGGGCAGAGCGCCGCCGTGTCCTCTGCGGCCGCCATGCTGCCCGCCGCCCGCGCGCTGCCGCCGCTCGCCTGGCGCTGGGCCGCGGCCGGGCCCCGGGCGCTGGGCACGGGTCGGGCCCGGCGGTCGGAGGCGCTGGCCGGGGCGCCGCTGGACACGGCCACCAAGGAGTACTCGCCCAAGGTGCGGCAGCTGGTGCGGGACATCGCGGGGCTGACGCTACTGGAGGTGGCCGACCTCAACGCGCTGCTCAAGGTGGGTGGCGCGGCCCGTCCTGGCTCACCTCAGCCCGGCCGAGCCCAGCCCGGCTCAGCCCGGCCCGTCCTATCCCGGCCTGGTTCACCTCGGCTCGGCTCGCCCCGGCCCGGCCCGCATGCTCCGCCTCACTGGGGCCGCTGCTCTTTCCGCAGGAGACGCTGAAGATCCCGGACGTGGGGGTGATGCCGGCGGCTGCCTCCCTCTTGCCCTCCCAGGCAGCTCCGAAGGTACCGGGGGGGGATCGGGAGTTGGGCCCCGGGGGCTTCGTGTCGGCGGGGCGGGGGCGATGGGCCTGGCCGGGTGTCTTGACCGAGCTCTGGCTGCTTGCAGGAGGAGGAGGAGGAGGTTCCGCTCAAGAAAGAGAAAACACATTTCACCGTCCGGCTGACGGAGATGAAACCTGCTGACAAGGTGAAGCTGATCAAGGAGGTGAAGAACTTCGTGCCAGGAGTGAACCTCGTGCAGGTGAGGAGGGGGCTGCCGGGGGCACCAGCCGCTTTGCCCCAGAGCCCAGACGGGTCCTGAATCATGTTGCAAGCGGCGGCCTCGGTTCTCTCTTCAGAAGGGAGCCTGGATTTCTGTCTTTAGGAGAACAGTCTGCCTGTGCGCACACCTCGGTGCAGAAGTGTGGACGGGGTGTAGAGCAGGAGCCGGCTGTGTCTGATGTTTTTTGGGGAAGGCTGTTTCCTCCCAGGTCTGCTGTGTGGCCAACTACTGAGCCCCTAGCAGATGTGGTGAGATGAAGGAGGAGGCTCAGAGCAAAGACCTCAAAAGGCTTCCGTGCCAGCCTCAGCTTCTCCGAACTACTGTGAACTTTCTTGCAGAGCTCGGTGGTAGCAAAGATTCCTCACTGCAGCTGGGTTTCACCTGCCTTCCCCTAAAGCTTTTTGCTTTTTTAAGGCCAACGTATTTCTGAATTTAGACAAGTTTCTCTAATTCACGCATCTTGCAATCCACGCTTCCAGTGCTTTTCAGAGCTCTTCCCTTTGTAGGTGATGCCTCCTCCTTTTTCCTCAGAGGAGATGGGCCTTTCACAGTCCTGTACAGTGTCTGAGCTCATGCCCTTGAGCCACGATGTAGGCTCAGAACAAAGAATGGGTGCTACAGCTGCTACTGCAGAAGCATTTAATGAGTTTCAGTTCTCCACTGGGAGATACTTTCTTGTCTTGGGGATAATAGTCGCACTTTCTGTTTATCCAGATGCATGGAAAAAATGTTGAGCATTGTATAATCTGCTCTTATTTGTAGCCCAGGATATCAGAAGGATTTGCAGAAAATCTTCGGACCCATTCATATTGATATATTGCAAAGCAAAGATTTGATAACAGAGAAACTGTGGTGGCAGAGATGTGAGTTTTGTTGGCCCACTGGGATAGTGAACTTGTCAGCTTAGTTTGTCTGGCAGTTGTTTATCCATTATCAATCCCCAGCAAACGTTAACATAGCAAAACGATGTAACGGGCAGGAACAGCAGACAGTTAAAAGCTGTCTGGAGAACTAATGCTACATCAGCTTGGCTTAGCATGTGGAACCTGTCATACAAGGTGGCTAATTCCCATGCAGTTACAAGGTTGGTAGGAGCAGGTTCTTGCAGGTAAACTTTGTCAAGTGTGACTGACCCAACGTGGTATTTTGGTTAAAACACACACACAATATAGCCTGCTGCTGAAGGTTGGTTCTGCCTACAGAAGTTCTATTCAAAGTGTAGCTGAGAGTTTTTGTTGTAAATTTTATTGCCATCCAGTTGAGGTTTTTTTAATGAGATTTGCAGGGAATCTTTTTGGCCCGTAGGGCTGTTAATGATTTGGAAGAAAACATTGCTAGTAAAATCTGTGGACGCTGGGTGCTGATGTGACTCGAACGGGACAGTCCTGCAGAAACCACTGCTTGATGAGACAGGCGTGTCGCCAGCGCAAGCCACGCTCGAGCCCGTTTGCATGTCTGACAGCTTGTTCAGAGCCGGCCCGAGAGACACTTCCCTCACATCTTCGCCCGTCCCGGGCCGGCATTCTGGTTGCTCCCTCTGGACCGGGCACACGTTGCCTCTCTGCCCGGCGGCTGTGACTGTGCAGGTCCAGCTTGGCTCGGGCCCTGCTCTCCCTCCTGCTGGGAGCTCTGCACAGCTGCTTCCTTTGACTGAGGCTGCTTTAGAACTGAAGTTAAGCATTAGTGAGCAAGGGTCTTAAATAAATAACCTGGATTGTGTTGCCTGTCCTCATCTTAGCAAGCCAGAACAGGCTCCTTTCCAGATACTGTCCTGAGCTCTGGTGAGTGAAGGCATGCCTGCCCTGCCTGCACAGCTATACCTTCTCATCCTTAGCCAAAAAAAGCATTTTCTGCCACCATGGATACATCATTGCTGCACCCAACGTGAATTAAAACAACACAACCTTTTTTCTGTCGGCAACAGTCAATCTGTTGGGTGCTAACTACTTGCAGTGCCACACAGCACAGAGCTGGCAGCAGCTCTTCACCTTTGGGACCTCCCCAGGGTTTGTTTTGAAGGAGCTGAATAGCTTTATTGCTGCTTCGTGTAAGAGCAACAGAATCTGACTGCAGCAGGGGCTTATCTTCCCGTGCTCCCTTCCATTTTCTACACCAGCACTGCAGGAAGTCCCTTTAAATCAGTTCAACAACTTTTCAGTTTGCCTTAAACATTGCAGTACTGCGTAGTACCAATAGTTTCATATAAAAAGTTCTGAAAATATCAGGACTGTGTTCTCAAGCATAGTATGTACTGGAACTTTTTTTGTTACCCAGCACAGCGGATTCCTGCACTGCATGTACAAACCCTGCGACAGCCTCTCCTCCCCGCTGGCAGAAATATGTGAACCAAAACATTTGCAGTGAGGAAAGCGGACCCAGGGCAGGGCACTTCTCCAGCTGGGGCTGCACCTCTGGGAGCACGGTGTTCGTGGTGGGAGGAATTTATGGGCAATCACTCGCTGAAAAACTCTTCCTGGGCTACAGTGGATGTGCTGTCACTTGCCGTCGGGTTTAGACGTCTTCCAGCAGGATGTGCTGCAGTTCAAGTAAAAGTCTTGGGGTTTAGACCAGTCATTGAGCATTCCTGGCCTGCTTAGGCAGAGGTCAAGCTCACGGCTCTGAATCTGTTAATCTGGTTAGTGAAAGCCAGTTTTACAAGTCTCCTGCACTTTGTCCCCCCCCCCCCCCCCCCCCCCCCCGCAGGCGAAGAAGCTGGTGGAGTCCCTTCCGCAGGAGATCAAGGCAAACGCCTCCAAGGAGGAAGCAGAGAAGATCAAAGCGGCGCTGGAGGCAGCCGGAGGGACTGTGGTTCTGGAGTAGACGGCCCCATCTCCCAGGGAGGGACTGGCGCACCGCGGCAGCCTGCCCCGCCGGCCCCGGTACCGGCCCCGGTACCGGCCGCTGCCCCGGCCGCGCTCCGGGTGTCTCCCAGCGCCAGACGTCCCTGCCAGCCGCGCGGTGGGACCGCGCGCAGAGCGGCCCGCTGCAGGATTGCTGTACGGTTTGACGGGGCTTGGTGCCCGGTTCCGGCATCGCCACGAACTCTGCCTTCATAAACATCCCCCCCAAAAACCCTGCGAAACGGTTCATCTCTCCAAAATCAGCCTTGGCTCCGCGCCGCAGCCCCCTCCTCGAGCTGCCGCCCCCGCCACGCGGGACGGTTTGGCCTCCCCGCGAGTTGCGGTTGTTCCTCGGTCGTCGTTAATGGCGAGAGGCGCCGCGGAGCCGGCTGGGGGCGGGGACGTGCCGGCGGCGCCGGTTCCGCCATTTTCCGCCCGGCCCGGCCCGGCCCGGTACCGGGAGGGGGCGTGGCCGGGGGAGGAGGCGTGGCCGGGCGCGGGGGCGTGGCCGGGCGCAGAGCGGCGCTGATGGCGGAGCAGCGCGTGTCGCGCTGGTACTTCGGCGGCCTCGCCTCGGTCGGAGCCGCCTGCTGCACCCACCCGCTGGACCTGCTGAAGGTGCGGGGCACCGGGAGCGGCTGCCGGGGGCGCGGCGGGGACCGGGAACGGCTGCCCGTTCCGAGGGGACGGGGACAGGCTGCCGGGGGGGCCAGCTCTGAGGGGACGGGGCCGGGCTGCCGGGCGGGCTCCGGCTCTGAGGGGATCGGGAACGGCGTGTGGGGGGCTCCGGTTCTGAGGGGACCGGGAACGACGCGGGGGGGGCTCCGGTTCTCGGGCGACCGGGAACGGCTGCCTGTCCGGGGAGGGCCGAGGAAGGGCTGCCGGGGGCGCTCAGGTTCTGAGGGGTCCGGGAACGGCGCGGGGGAGCCGGTTCCGAGGGGCCCGGGAACAGCTGCCGGGGGGGAATCGGCTCTGAAGGGACAGAGAACCGCTCTGGGGGTCTGGGGAACGGCTCTGAGGGGCCCGGGAGCAGCTGCCGGGGGGGGTCCAGTTCCGAGGGGCCCAGGAAGCGCTGCCGGTGGGGGGGGGCTGGTTCTGAGGGCATAGGGACCGATGGGGGCCCCTCGGGGGGGCCGGGGAGCGGCGCTGAGGGGACGAGGAAGGGCTGCTGGTGGCGGGGGGAGCTGTTACCGAGCGACGGGAAACGGCTGCCCGGGGGGTGCCGGTTCTGAGGGGACCGCGCACGGGAGGTCACCGCCCCGGGGCTCGGGGAGGGGGCAGGGGTGTGGGGGGGCAGAGGGGGCCAGGGCTGAGGGGATCCTGGTACGGGGCCGGGGGCTCTGGGGGGCTCGGGGTGCCGGTCCCGGGGGCTGTGGGGGACACCCTGGCCAGCCCTGCCCGGGCAGGCACGGCGGTGGCTGCAGGGCCCGTGGTACTGGCCGCGGGCCCACTGGGCTCCGTGTCCTCAGGCCAAGATGTCACCGAGGCGCCGTAGCCAGGCTGGCATCCCCGCTCCCACACAAAGAGCGCCGCGCGCAACCCTGCGCTGCCAGCACCCACAGACGGGGCGAATGCCAGCGCTGCCCGGAGCCTTGTGTGCCGGCCAAGCGGCAACGAGCCTGGCAGGCTGCGGAGGGGGAGCGGGAGAGCGAGCCCAGGCCAGGGCCTGCCGTGCCCGTGGGTGAGGCTCGGGACGGGCAGCCCCTTCCCACCCCGGCGCACAGTGGGAGGGGAAGATGCGACGGGCACAGGCCCGGGAGAGGAACCAGCGCTGGCAGGGGGATGCCGCTTCCTCGATGCTCAGCCTGTTGCTGTGCCCGGCTGGCCCCGGCTGCCCAGCGGAGGTGGCTGGCAGCCCACAGGGGCTCGTGTAGGACGCCCTGGCAAGGCACTAAGAAGGGGATTTAGTCTGGCACATGCCTCTAGGCCTGCTTCTGTCTCTGAGCCAGCGTGACGGCTGTGACTTTTGGGCTGCGTCCCCACACACTATCCCCTGCAGATAAGTAGCCCCTGCGGCTGTGAGCAGCCCAGGCCAGCCAGCTGGTTTTGACAGAGAGTTCACACCTGAACACTGAACGCAGACCTGCCTTTGGCTCAGAGCTCCACTGCAGCGGGGGCTGGTGCCAGGCGTGCCTCAGGGTCTGGCAGGGCAGGGGCCAAAGGTGCTTTGCTGCTCCTCTGGACCTTGGCCCCGGTGGGAGGCCCCAGCCAGCCCCGTCAGAGGGTGCTCATGCCACTGGCTGCCCACGGGGCTGCTTGCCCTGTGGCAGTGACCACGGTGCTGGCCAACTCCTCCCCTGCCTGCTTGCCCACCCTTCCCGCGGCCCTGGGACAGGCTGGCAGCGGAGTGCTTCCAGGCATGGCTCTGCCCTACCTGCCTGCCCGCCCAGTCCCTCTGCCCTGGGCTGCCCAGCAGCCGCTCTCCCAGCTGTCGCGCCACGAGCTCTGGTCCCTGATGTCCAAAATCCGCCTGCCAGAGTCAAATGCAGGCCCCCTCCCTGCACAGAGGGAGGCTGTTCCTAGCATCCTGCTGTGTGTCCCACGCCCTGGCCGTGCCGGGGCTTCTGTAACGGGAGCCAGGCCCGGTCCCACGCCAGCGGCCCTTTGCTCTCTTTAATTTTATCTCCCGGGCCTTTGACCCACACGTGATCTTCACAGTGTGGGGCCAGGCGGGTGTGCTCAGAACGTGCTCCAGCACCCGCCGATATGGCTCCTCCACGCCGGCCAGCCCCCGCAGCGCTGCTGCCGCTTCCCCCCGTGATGGTGGGAAGCGTTGGGCTGCTGCGGGTGGGCAGGGGAGCGCCCGGGCTGTGGCAGGGAGCGGTTCGGAGCTGGTGAGCAGGGCTGCAGAGTCGTCTTCCTGCCTCTGAGATTCTTGTGGCTGGGGAGGAGGGGAACTTACTTCTGGAGGCCTGCCGCCTCATGTGGCGAGGGTGTAGGGCAACAGAAGGTCATGAATTCACGGGCCGTCATGGTCCCACTGAGCAAACCCAAACTGGTTGCTCACGTGCTTCTGGATCCACTCCGGCATGGCCCAGGGCCTCTCTCGGAGGAGCTGGCGCTACCGTTTCATCCTGGGGCGTGCTGTTGAGTCCACCGAGCTGGGCAGGTGCCTCTGCACTCCCCCTTTTCCTGCCAGCCTCCACCGCCCTCATGCTGGGCTGGGCTGGTTTCTAAGTGCTGCTTAGGTGTGGGGAGCCTGGAGCTATTGCTGTCTGCCGGGAAGCTCCTGCGTGAGTGCTAACGAGTTACCCTGACAAACACTCGGAGCGGCCGTCCCTGCTCCGCTGCCCTGCGCGCTCCTGCGCCTGCCCAGCCCTGGGCGTGGGGGGCTCTGCCACGCTGGGCCGGTGCACTGACGCTGCCAGACTCTGCCCCAGGTCCACCTGCAGACGCAGCAGGAGGTGAAGATGCGGATGATGGGGATGGCAATGCATGTGATCCGCAACGATGGCTTCCTGGCCCTCTACAACGGGCTCAGCGCCTCGCTGTGCCGGCAGGTGAGTGCCACCGTCCCCCGAGGCAGAGCTCCTGCCGCCCCGCGCTGCCGGGGCTGGAGCCAACGGGCGGCCGGGGAGGCAGGTGCCTGGCGGGACACAGTGGCTCCTTCTCCCTCTCCTCCAGCTGACATATTCCTTGACTCGCTTTGCCATCTACGAGACCGCGAGGGACCGCTTGGGCCAGGGCAGCCAGGGGCCTCCCCCCTTCTACCAGAAAGTGCTGCTGGGTGCAGTGGGAGGTGAGTGAGGCAGAGGGTCCCTCAGCCCAGGGCTCCCTCGGGCTGAAGGAACTCCTGACCACAGCTCTTCTTTGGCCGCAGGTTTCACCGGCGGGTTCGTGGGGACCCCGGCAGACCTGGTGAACGTCAGGTCGGTTCTGCCTGTGTCCTGGTGCTGGTGCTGAGGGAGGCTCGCAGCTGGCGTGCAGCTGGGATGGTGCCCCACTCCCCGTGCTCCTGACTTCTCTCCTGACCAGTCTGCCCTGTGGTTAGCGGCCCAGTCCCGGCAGGGAGCTCTGTACCCCAAAGGACCAGAGTTGTTCTACCGTTGGGTGTGACGGCCCCAGCCTCCTGCGTGGCCCTCTGAGGGGGTGTGGGAATGAAGGCAGCTTTCATGTCCCTTTGCAAACAGGCGATGCAGTCCATCTGCTGGGTCTCTGGCCACTGCCCTGGGCCCCTGGTGCTGGGTGGGGGGGGTGGGATGGTGGAGCAGCAGCCCCTGCCTCACCCCGGGCTGATCTTGCTTACAGGATGCAGAACGACATGAAGCAGCCGCCCGCCCTGCGGCGCAAGTGAGTGGGGAGCCGGGGCGCTTGGAGGGGGCCAGGGCTCCAGGGTGGGCCGGGGCACTCGGAGGGGGCCGGGGCACTCGGGGGGGGCCGGGGCTCCAGGGTGGGCCGGGGCACTCGGAGGGAGCCGGGGCACTCGGAGGGGGCTGGGGCACTCGGGGGGAGCCGGGGCACTCGGAGGGGGCCGGGGCACTTGGGGGGAGCCAGGGCTCTCGGAGGGGGCTGGGGCTCCAAGGTGGGCTGGGGCACTCGGGGGGAGCTGGGGCTCCAGGGTGGGCCGGGGCACTCGGGGGGAGCCGGGGCTCTCGGGGGGAGCCGGGGCACTCGGAGGGGGCCGGGGCACTCGGGGGGAGCCGGGGCACTCGGAGGGGGCCGGGGCACTCGGAGGGGGCCGGGGCACTCGGGGGGAGCCGGGGCACTCGGAGGGGGCCGGGGCACTCGGAGGGGGCCGGGGCTCCAGGGTGGGCCGGGGCACTCGGGGGGAGCCGGGGCTCTCGGGGGGAGCCGGGGCTCTCGGAGGGGGCCGGGGCACTCGGGGGGAGCCGGGGCACTCGGGGGAAGCCGGGGCTCTCGGGGGGAGCCGGGGCTCTCGGAGGGGGCCGGGGCTCTCGGGGGGAGCCGGGGCTCTCGGGGGGGGCCGGGGCTCTCGGAGGGGGCCGGGGCACTCGGGGGGAGCCGGGGCACTCGGGGGGGGCCGGGGCTCTCGGAGGGGGCCGGGGCACTCGGGGGGAGCCGGGGCACTCGGGGGAAGCCGGGGCTCTCGGGGGGAGCCGGGGCTCTCGGAGGGGGCCGGGGCACTCGGGGGGGGCCGGGGCACTCGGGGGGGGCCGGGGCACTCGGGGGGAGCCGGGACACTCGGGGGGAGCCGGGGCTCTCGGAGGGGGCCGGGGCACTCGGAGGGGGCCGGGGCTCTCGGGGGGGGCCGGGGCACTCGGAGGGGGCCGGGGCTCTCGGGGGGGGCCGGGGCACTCGGGGGGAGCCGGGGCTCTCGGAGGGGGCCGGGGCTCCCGGGCCGTGTGGCCGCGGGGGGGCAGCACCTCACCGGCGGGGCCCCGGAGCCTCGGACCCTGACACCTCCCCTCTCGCTCCGTGCAGCTATTCCCATGCCCTGGACGGCATATACCGCGTCCTCCGGGAAGGTGAGGCCGCGCCAGCCGGGTAGGCTGAGCCCACCTGCGGTGTCGTCGCTGACACCGGGCAACAGTGGCCGGACTGGCCCAGGGAGCTCCGGCTGGGAGCTGCCGCGTGGGCTCGCTCAGCCGGGGCAGGGAGAGGGGACAGAGGGTGGGTGGGGGGCCCATGGGGCCAGGGCAGCCCGAGGGTCAGGCAGGGCCCGGCACCTCTGCAACATCTGGCTGGGGCACGGGCCGGGCAGGGCCCCCCCGTGCTCCTGCTGGGAGCCGCCGTGGAAAAGCACAAGGGGCTGGAGCAGGTGGGAAGGGGGATGAGCGGCAGCAGGGAGGAGGGAGGGGCTGTTGTGCAGGATGCGCCTTTCCTGCAGCGTATTCGCTGTTGTGTGTTTTAAGCACTGTTGTATGAGGAGCCTGGGGCACAGACCGGGCAGAGAAGCTCCTGGAGGGAAGGGAGTGTGAGTAATGTCCAAGGACTGGGCTGATCCCGGTCTGTCTGTCTGCAGAGGGCTTGAAGAAACTCTTCTCGGGAGCTACGATGGCATCCAGCCGAGGGGCCCTAGTCACCATTGGGCAGGTGGGACAGCTTTGCTGGGCAGTGGGTGCCCAAGGCAGGGACGGGGTAGTCCCTGGCATGGAGAGGAGAGGGGACGTGTCACTAATTTGTCGTGTCTCTGCAGCTCTCCTGTTATGACCAGGCCAAGCAGCTGGTTCTCACGACTGGGTTGCTGTCAGACAACATCTTCACTCACTTCCTGGCCAGCTTCATCGCTGTGAGCTGGGCTGGGTGCGGGGAGGCCGGACTGGGACTGGGTTTGCCTGCAGCCGGGCTCAGGGCCCCAGGCTGGGGCTGCCAGAGCTGCCCCTCGGGACTCCGATGAAGCAGCGCTGGGCTTGGAGGCTCCCATGGGGCTTCTGGCACGGGGCTGGGCCCAGGCAGGGCTCTGGGTCTCTGCAGTGACTGTGGCACTTGCTGGCGCCTGGGTCTCCTCCGTGAGCCGGAGCTGCTGACCCCCACTGTCTCTCCCCAGGGTGGATGCGCCACATTCCTGTGCCAGCCCATGGACGTGCTCAAGACCCGCCTCATGAACTCCCAGGGCGAGTACCGGGTGAGTAGCCTGTCCCGTCCCCTCTGCTCGCTGGCCTCTGCCTCCCGGCACCTCCTCATCTCTCTCTCGCTCCAGGGTGTTACCCACTGTGCCGTGGAAACTGCCAAGCTTGGCCCCCTCGCCTTCTACAAGGTACCCAGCTGGGGGTGTGTGGGATGGGCTGGTAGGGTGGACTGGGGGGAGGCTGGGAGCAGAGGCTAAGGTCCAGAACAGTTCTGGGGCAGGAGCCTTCCAGGCTCTGCTGCCAGCAGCCTGGCCAATTCCTGCACCAGGCCTTCGTCTGCCGGTCCCTGGCCGGGCCCGCCGCGTTGCAGCCTTGGCCTCTTCTGGGCAGCACAGCGGCCGCCCTGTTGCACCCGTTGGGCTCCCAAACGGGAATGCAGGTACGGGCAGTGCTGCTCCAGCGCTCAGTGGATGTTACTGCCTGGCAGACACTGGTCAGCTCTTGGGCCCTACGTGCCCGGGCTTGGTGCAGTCACCCGTGTGTTCAGCCTCACTCCTGGGAGGGCCCCTGAAAAGGGGTGTCACGCCAGAGGGTTCTTCCAGATGCTGCCAGTCAGGCATTTTCCCTGTTACAGCCTGTCTGCTCATCTTCCCCAGGCAGCGTCCAACCCCCTTCTGAGCCGGGGGCTGTGGGATCTGACCCGGGCTTCTGCTGAGATTCTGCCTACGTGGTGGTGATGCTGGCACTGATGTGTTTGGGGGCAGAGGGGTTGCTGCATGATGCTGAGATCTGTGTGCACAGCGATGGTTGCGGTGCCTCCCTCACCGCTGTGGCAGCCCCTGCCTGCCTCTGGGGCCCCCCGGAGCCCATGCTGCATGCCCGGCCAGCTGCTCCCCCGCGCTTGCAAGCTCGCGCCGCTCCTGGGGGGCCGGGCTGCTGGGCACCCCCGGCCCTGACACGGAAGCCCAGGGCCGGGCACACGCTGACTCTCCCTGTTCTGTCCCCTTCCAGGGCTTCGTTCCTGCTGCCATCCGGCTGATTCCTCACACCATCCTCACCTTTGTCTTCCTGGAACAGCTGCGCAAATATTTTGGGATCAAAGTGATCACTTGAGTCGGAGGGACGGGGACCCTGTCTCGCCCCAGAGGGGTGAGCGTGTTGGGTCACTGCTGAGATCCCAGACCCCCAGTCTGGGCCCAGCGCTGCTCCCCTTACCCCACCCCCGTGCCTTGCCAGTGGCCAGCCAGTCCCAGCCTCCCCTTTCCTCTCTCACCCCCAGTCTCAGCATCTCCATTACTTCTGGGATAGTCTTGGGCCTCCTGTCCCCTCTGTACTGTTGATTTTGGGGGGTTTTTCTGCCATCTTCCCACTGCACGACTGGCCACAGGTTCTGTCCTTACCCCCTCACGGGAGCAGGGCTGTGCTGCCCCGGGGAGGACGGGGGCTCCAGCCGTCTGGCTCCATGCCTGGTCCCAGACCCGCCGGTGCTGGGGGGGCTGGTGCTGGGGGTGGTGGGGCTGGCTCACTCCCAGCCTCTGCTGCAAACAGCAAGGGGGGGATGCAGGCTTAGCGCAGCGAGGCCCCCTCCTCCCTGGGTGCTTCTGGCCCCACGTGCTCCTCCAGTGACCCCCATGCAGCCTGGCCTCTCCCTTCTGTTCCCGGCCTCCCCTCTTTACACCCCCCGACCTCCCCAAACACCCCCTGCTTCTGCTCAGCCAAAGCTCGCCAGCGCCCAACGGCTGCTGGGCTCCTCAGGGATTGTGCCTCACACCAATGCCGACAGAGGCCGGAGCCCAGGGGCAGGGGGCAGCCCCTCAGCCCCCCCCCGGCCCCGATGGCTGGGTGTGGGCTGGAGCCCTTCCCCCCCGGGCTCCAGGCAGGGCCCCCCCGAGGACCCCCCACTTGCTCACCCTCCACCAGACCCGGCCTGGAGGGGGGGGGTGTCCGTCCAGCACCGCTCTGCGGCCTCGCCCACCCCCAGCCCCACGTGCACCCAGGCTGCCTCACGGCCCCCCCCTCTGCCTGTGCACCCCCGTGTGCGGTGGCCCCGAGGGATCAAAGAACTGGAATATCTGTGATCTTAATATATAATAAACAGTGGAACAAGCACAGGGCCTGGTGTCCTGCCCGGGGGAGCGGGAGGGACGCTGTGCCCTCTCTCGCTGCGGGGGGGCTCAGACTGGGAGCAGAGGGAGGAGAGCCAGGCTCGTCCCCCTCAGCACTGCACCGAGCAGGGGGGGGTTCACCCCGTTCTGTGCCCCTAAGGGTGCACATGCCCAGCGCCTCCCGGCCCCACACAGCGGGGAGCTGCGGGCCGGGGTCCCCGGGCCATCCCTGCTCCGAGCTGTGCCCGGTCTCAGCGGAGGGGGCAGCTCCCAGGCAGAGCCGTGGTGAGGACGCCTGCCCGCCTCTGCGCCACGGGAGCTGCCTCCCAGCTGTGACACTAATTGGGCTCCAGCTGGCGGAGCAGAGCCAGCCTGGGACAGCAGAGAAGCGAAAGCTCGTCACCTTAACGAAGCCTAATGATGCTGGCTGGCATCGCTGCTTTGTCCCTGTGCCCGGCCCCCTGTGAGAGCTGCGGGCAGGTGAGTGTGGGGCGGGCTGAGCCCCCTCCTTGGGGGCTGGGGGCTGCCTGGCCGGGCCCACTCCAGCCATCGCCCTCCCGCAGCGGCTCCCGGTGCTCTGGGCCCCCCTCCGGCCCTGCTGCCGGCGGGGGGGCTCCCACAGGTCACCCATCTGCCGGCAGCCCGCAGGGCTGGGGGCTGCCGCTCCTGCCCCGGAGGGGGCGGGGGGGGGGGGCAAGGGCTGACCCCGGGAAGCGGCCGTTTGTCCGCCCCCCCCGGCGCTGGCGAGGCTCCCGCAAGCCCCAGCCCGTGTGCGGGCGGCCGGGCCGGCGGCTGAGCAGAGCGGGACCCCGGCTGGGGGGCTGTGGGGAGCCCCGGGGGGGGACACCGTGTCCCCGAGCTGCCGCAGCCTCCGTGGCCGCCACGGCCGCCGGCGAAGGGTAAATATGTTTGTGCCGGGGGGTCGGCCTCGGGCTCGGGGGTGCCCGGGGCGTTCGCGGCTGCCGCACCGGGGTGTGTTACCGGGCTGTGCCGCGGCGGGACCGGCCCCGGGGGGTCAGCGCCGGAAAACCCCCGGGACAGCAGGAGAGCCCCGGGGCCCTGCCGCCTCGCTGGGGCCGGGGGAGCCGCCTCGGCGGGCCCCGCTTCACCGGAGCTGCGGGCACCCCCGTCCCTCCCCTTCGGGGGCCGGTGCGGTTCAGCTGCCCCCGCCGCTCCGCCCGCCCCGTCCCCGCCGGCGAGCGGAGCCGGTGCCCGGCGGCGGGGCGGGGCGGGGCGGGGCGGAGGAGCCTGCGGCGGGGATAAGCGGTGACGAGCGCCGGTGGCCGCCGGTGATGCGGGGCTGCGCGGGCAGCGCTGCGCCGAGCACCCGGGGTCGGCGGCGCCGGGCGGGGCGGGGGGCGCCGGGCTGCGCCCTCCCCGCGCCGGCGGGAGGAGCGGGGCGGCGGGACGCGGCTCCTCGCCCGCGGTCCCTCCCCTCGCCCCGGTCCCTCCCCCCGAGCCGCCACAGACGCCGCCGCCGCGGCTCCGGCAAAAGTTTTCGCCGGAGCGGCCGAGCGCGCCGGTCCCGGTCCCCGCCAGCACCGAGATGCGCCCGGGAGCCGCCGCGAGCCCAGCCCCGACAGGTACGGGGACGGGGGGAGGAGGGAGGGCAGCGCCCGTCCCCGCGGTCTCGGGGCTCCCCGCCCGGCGGGGTGCCGCACGCCCCGTCGCAGGGATGCGGGCTCGAGTCGCGGCTGCGCATCCCCGGGGCCGCGGATTGAGCCCCCGGGACTTCGAAGCAGCCGCTCCCAGGGCGGTCCCGGTGCTGGGCGCCGGCCCCGGTGGGGCTGAGCCCCCCGGCAAGGGGTGTCGGGGGCCGGGGGGTGCCGCTGGGCTGTGCCCGCTCCCTGCCTGAGCCGCTGCCTCCGGCTTCCCGGGGAAGGGGCTCTGCCGCCGGGCATCTCGGCACCCCTGAGTGCTGCCGTGAGCCCCGGGCCACTGATACCAGCCGGGCTCCGACGCACTGGGAGCATCTCCCGGAGAAGCCCCTCGCCGGGGTGGTGCCCGCTGGGTCTCCCTGCCGTGGGCACAGCAGTGCCTGCGGTTTTCGCTGAGGGGAGGAAGCAGGAGACACTTTTCCACCCTTCCCAGCGCTCCCCAAGCTCCCCGGGTGTTGCAGGGGCCCGTTGCGAGTGCCCTTTGTGACTCTGTCCCGAGCTCTGCTGTGTCAACACGGTGTTGGTAAATGGCTTTGTTTAACCAGGACATGTTGGGTATGTGACCTTGCCGCCCTCCTGGTTGCAAGCGCATCTCCAAAGCAGCCGCCGAGCTCACTCCTGCCTGGCGCGGCGCGTCCCAGCCCAGCTGCTCCCCCGGGACAGCAAGGGGGAGCAGGGCCCGCCGGCATCGGTCCTGTCTGTGCTGCCCCGCCAGCGCGGCCGAGCACCTCGCCGTGCACCCTGCAGCGCGCGGCAGCGCGTGTTGTGGGTGTCCTGACCCATGCCAAATTCAGTGGTTGCCCCTGTGATTTCCTTGGCTTTAGCTGTGCATCACAGCAGGAAAATTTAGGGCCCGCAGGACCCCTCCTTGTCATGTTAGTGCGGCTCCAGCTGCCAGCTCCTGTCCTTCCCACCAATCCCTGCTCTTTTGCACGCTGTGGTGCAGATTTTTTTATGTCCTGTTGCCTGGAGAGGGTAAAAGAGAAAAGGCTGAACAGAGAAAAGGCAAAATGTGGATTAAAAATAGTTAATGAAAAAATGTGACCGCAAGCCCTGATCAGCAGCGCAGGGCTGAGAGCAGCGCCGAGCGCTGTGCCCCTTGCTGTGCCAGGCAGAGGCAGGGTCTGGCCGCAGGGGAGGTGGGACGGCTGCTCTGCTCTGTCCCCCTCTGCTCCTCCATTGCATCCTGCCCTGTCCTGGGTCCCCCACGGCCAGAGCCCCTCTCCTCACCCACCTACCCCAGCCCAGGGGGTCTGGGGACCTTGTTGGCTGGCCGTGCCAGGCACTGCGGGCGCCTCGGGACAGGGAGGGACCCTGCCAGGACAGGGCACATCTGCGCCTCAGCAGAGCGGGACTCGAGCTCACTCCGCAGCGATGTACCAGGAGGTTGTCCCCAGCCCCGCGGCGACCGCAGGGTCCATTCGTGACACAAACTGCTCTGGGGAGGCGGGTGCTGAGCTCCCGGTGCAGGCGCGTGTGCACACGCCTGTCTGCACTGACCTTTTCCCAGGCTTTTCCCAGTCCTGTGCTTCCCCTGTGACACGCTAACTGCACGTGTCGCGCCGTGCCTCTCATGCCATCCTCCTGTTTTTCATGAGTTTTCATGCAATGTGATGAACAAGAAAAACACGTTTCCCTGAGCCAGGACCAAGGTGCTGTGTAGCTCAGCATCTCCTCGCCAGAGCTTGCCAGGCAGCAAGGTTATTCGACCACGGCTCGGCTGCCTGGCTGTGCTTCCATGCTCCCTCTCGGGGACTGGGTGGCTGTGGAGGGTGCCCTTGACTGTCCCTTTTGGTAGCAGGGCGGTTGTGGAGGGGCTGCAAAGAGCGTTCATCCTGACAGCACAGGGGCGAGTGACGTTTGTTTTCATCCCGTGTTGCTGTTGACGAAAACGCTGTCAGGGTTAGTTTAGGTTTTCTTGGTCCAAAGTGACACAGAATCTGACACTGTCGGTGCCTGGTGACATTGGCTCTCTCCGTGTGCCGCTGTTCAGCGTTTCCACAGTCATGTAGGTCGGTGCAAACGAGCTGCGGTCTTGCAGCACAGGGGCTGCTCCAGGCAGTTCAGCTGTTCCTCCCTTCTCAAAGTTCCTGGTACGCGCTTCACGGGGGAGGACTGGAGCAGTTGTGGGTCGCAGGTGGGGAGTGGGAGGCATCCCCACACTTGGGGCCGGGACCAGGCGGGGACAGCACGGGGTGAGGGCCAGACCTAGACCTCCTGGGCCACCCCACCGCTTGTCCTGCTCGCCGTGGTCCTGGGTGAAAAGCGGAGCAGCATCTGCAGTGCCAGGCTCGCGCTGGCATTGCATCAGCTCTGGCCCTGCACCGTCCCCTCCCCTGCCAAGTGCCGAAGCCCCTGCCGCGCTGGCTTGTAGCTCTGAGCTCAAAGCCAAGCCAGCCGTGGAAAGCACTGCATTAGCACACTGGGGGCTAATCCCTGCGTCTGGAGGACGCGCAGCCCCCACTGCCGCCCCCCGAGCAAGCGGGGCTGTGCTGGGCCGGGGCTGCGCTCACGGCGAGGCCGTGCTCCCACCCCGGCCAGCGACGCCAGAGCCCCGTGGAGGAGCTGCTCCAGCCTCCCAGCGCTTGTGCGGGGCTGTGGCTGTGCCCGGGTGCTCCCAGGTCACGTTGCAGATGCCCACGAGTGTCCCTGCAGAGGCTTCACCACGCCGTCGATCCACGTGGCAATCGGGTGCAGTGATCCCAGATGTGGAGCTTGTTCCCTCGCACGTGTGATGGCAGCCAGAGCCGGGCGCCGGCCGGAGGGGCCAGGACGGCAAAACCCCCAAGGGAAACCGGCCCGGGTGGGAGGAGGAGAGCGTTCCTCCCCCAGGCAGGACCGGGTGCTCAGCAGGACCCGGGGATCCACGCTGGCACAGAGCTGCTGCAGGGCAGCGTGGGGGCTGCGCACCCATGGGTGGGGGGCAAAATCCTGACACAAGACTTTTCCCATCCATTCCCTACATCTCGGTGTGGTGCCGCAGTGGTGGCAGCAGGCCAGCAGCACCATGTGTGCCGGTACTCGGCTCCCCCCATGCCCTCCCCAGGCTTTGTGCCCCTCTCCCCGCCTGCCAGCAAACCCCAGGGCCAGTGGCTGCCAGGCCATGAGCCACAGCCCTGGGGGGCACAGGGAAGCTGGTCGTGGGGGGAGAGGGGGTCCTTGCTTTGCCCCCATCACTGCAGGCGTTGGCACCGCTGGCTCAGGAAGGGCTCAGGGCATGAACACAGGCACCAGCAGCCGTCTCGCTCCCCCCCCACCCCAAGGGCAGGTGATGGTGCCTGTGTCTGACACCTCCATCCCCCCCAGTGCTGGGGCTGCCAGCACTGACGCCTTCCCCACCTGGGCGCAGCCATCCCAGGGCTGGTTCCTCTTTCCTCCCCTCCTGTCGCGGGTGCAGGATCTCCCCTTTGCGGCTGCGGCAGCGCCGGGTGTTTGCAGCCCGGCCTCCGCGGGGGTCAGCAGCCGCAGAACCGTGACACAGGAACACGCTGTCTTGCCCAACACCAGCGTGGGGCAAAAGTCCCCCGTGCGCCCGCCGCGGCACGGCACAGCCCGCCCAGACACACCCGCTCACACGCCAGGCACCCATGGCGGGGTGACCCCCAAAGCCTGGCTCTGGCTGGGGGCGAGGGGCCGGGGCAGGGGAACGCGGCACCGGGGTCGGGCACCGCAGGGTGAGGGGCCGGTGGTGACGCGGAGCCGGGTCCCTCCCGCGGTGCTGCCACCGGCAGCCAGAGTCACGGCTCCCACGGCTCCGGTGGCCGTGGCACATCCAGCCAGCAGCCACCGCCGCTCCGAGCGCTGCGGGCACCTCCCGGGAAGGTGCTCAGCACCGCCGGGGGTCCGAACCTCTCCAGACCCCGCCGCTCCTTCCCTGGCGCTGCCCATCCGTGCCAAACCGGGGACGACTGGTCCACGGCTACTCCTGCGCACCCACGCGCCTGCTAGAAATAGCCCGCATCTCCGAGGGGGTGGGCGAGCTGCCGGGGGTCCCTCGTGCCGTGGGGAGCGGGGGGCCAGCACGGTGCTGCAGCTGCACAGCACCGCGGGCAGCTGGGGCAAAGGGCCTGGGCAGGGCCCCGCTGTGAAGGGGGGAGCCCCGTGCCGGAGGCGAGGAGTGTGACTGGCCCCGCGCGCCAGCACCCCTCACCCAGTGCAGTCTGCCCAGCTTGGCCGCGGCCGGGCCCCGGGGCAGCGGCTGCCAGCCCAGGGGGAGTCTAGGGCAGAGGCCTCCCTGCCGCTAAATCCCATTGCAGGCAGCTAAAAATAGAGATACCTCTGCCCCAAAGCTGCCTCCCCGGGCCGCGGAGAGGGGCTGGCAGCGAGTTCGCTGCTGGCCCGTGGTGCCTGGGGGGAGCGTTTCCTCCCCGGGGCAGGGATGCTCAGGGCAGGGGCCGGGCACTGGGAGGTTCCCACAGGGCCAGGAGATGGGCGGTGGTGGGAGGGGGCAGGTGGGGATGCTGGTGTGGGGCTGGCGCGGGGACAGGAACAGGGATGCTGGTGTGCGGCTGGTGGGGCGACAGGGATGCTGGTGTAGGCAAGTGGCCTGGTGGGCGCCCACTGAAGATCCCTGTTCCCAGAGCCCACCCAGTGATGACTGTCCCAGGAGACAGTTCCTTCTGTCCTGGGACTGTCTAAATAAGGCACGCGCCGGCAGGTCCAGCTCCCCGAGCCACATCTGGAGCCCCACACGCTGATTAATGAGCTTCTCATGCAGCCACTTGCGACATGGCGAGTGGGTCTGCATGGAGGAAACATGACTTTCCCAGGGATAAAAATAGGCACGGGCAGAGCGGCGAGCCCTGGGAGCAGTGGCTGGTCGGGGAGTGCAGCACTCTGGCCGGTGCCCGGGGGGGGAAGCTGGGGGGGTGATGCCGTAGTGTCTGTGGTGGCACTGGCACTGCTGTCTGTCCTGTCCACCCCAGCTCGGCTGCCCTCACCCCACTCTGAGCCGTGGGGCTCCCGTCAGAATGGCCTCATGTCAGAAGAGCTGAAATCCCGCTCAGGAGCCCCATAACCGGCTTAGGGGGATGGAGGGATTTATGGCGCCTCGTGAGCCGGGCTTTGTGCGGGAGCTTGCGGGCGCCGTGTCAGACGAGGCACCGGGTCGCTCCCCTGGGCTGGGGGCGACAGACCCGCAGTGGGGCGGCCAGGCTGCGCTGGTCCCGGGGCCACGGCAGCCCCACGAGCCGGGGATCCCTGCGGGTTAATGGTTAACCACCCCGGGGCCGGCAGCCATCCCCGTCCCTGCCCGGCTCGGGGTGCTGCCGGCGGCACCCTGCCCACCTCCACCCCCGGGTGGGTGCTGCTGGGGGCACCTGGGGGCCGGGGACAGGGTGCCCTGATGTGGCCGTCCCGGGGGGGGGTCTGGCCACCACCACCACTGGGAGCGGATCCAAAATCGGTGCTGCCACAAGCGGGCGGCGGAGGGGAGGGGAGGCAGCCCCTGCCCTGAGAAGATGCTCAGGCATGAGGAGGGGTCCTGGGCTCTCGGGGCTCGGCACCAACACGCAGCCGGGCACCAGCACCCGTGTGGGGTGGCCCCAGCCAGGGTGTGTGCGGGGGGGGGTCTGGGGGCGGCGTGGCCCTGGGGGGGCGGGAAGGTCGGTGCGGCACAGGGGTGATGTCGGTGTGTGGCTGCGCTCCGGCCGGGCAGGGGCTGGGGGCTTTGGCTCAGCGGGCAGAGGGGTGGCCTGGCCACAGTTCCAATGCCGTACTGGGGAGGAAAAGGCAGAAGGGCGGGTAGCAGCCGCTCTTCAGCCTCGCGGGAAAAGACACAAACAACCAGCTGAACGTTAAAGCCGGGCAGGGTCGGGCGAGGACGGGGGTGGGAACGCGGCACCGTGACGGGGTCCAGCTCTGCGCCGGGACAGCCTCCCCTCCCACCTCCCCCCGGCCCCGTGCCCCCCGCTCTGCCGGGGCTGGGTCCCACCTGCATCCCCGTGGCCCCGTGTCTCGTGCAGGGTCACCCACGCGCCAGGGCGCTCGTCGCCAGGGCCGAGGAGCTGCCGAGGGCCGGTAGGAAGCCAAGCACCCTGCGCTGCTCCCCATGCGGCTCACGGCCCGGCGGAGGGATGTCCCGGCCGTGGCTCCTCAGCCTCCTGCTGCTGCTGCTGCTCTGCTGCCAGGTAAGGATGGGACATCCCGCACCACCCTGCTCTGCCCTGTGCCCAGCCCCGCTGCCTGCCCCCCACCTGCCCCTGCCCGCAGCAGCCCCTCACCACAGCATGCTGTGCAGCGGCTGCTGCCCTCTCCTGCCTGCCCTGCCAGCCTCGTGGCACAGCATGGCACGGCTCGGCGTGTTAGCCCGCACTCACCCATGGCCATCCCTGAGCTGGGGTCACTGCCCGGCTCGGCACAGTGGCCACGGTGGGTGATGCTCCCCGGTGCCCCCAGGGCCCCTCTGCCCAGATCACAGATTTCGTCTTCGAGAACTGGAAGGCGTACAGCGAGGAGTGCCACCGCAACATGAGCCGCCTGCCCGCGCCCGCAGGTGAGACCTGGCGTGGGGTCCCAGTGGGACGGGGACCCGGGGGGAGAGGGGCTGGTGTGGGGTCCCGGCAGGGTGGGGACCCGGGGGGAGAGGGGCTGGTGTGGGGTCCCGGCAGGGTGGGGACCCTGGGGGAGAGGGGCTGGTGTGGGGTCCCGGCAGGGTGGGGACCCGGGGGGAGAGGGGCTGGTGTGGGGTCCCGGCAGGGTGGGGACCCGGGGGGAGAGGGGCTGGTGTGGGGTCCTGGCGCCCAGCTCCCCGCATGGGTGAGGCCAAGGCCGCCGCCACGTCCCGTCCCTCCGCAGAGCTGGTCTGTAACCGCACCTTCGACAAGTTTTCCTGCTGGCCCGACACGCTGCCCAACAGCACGGCCAGCGTCCCCTGCCCCTGGTTCCTGCCCTGGTACCAGAAAGGTAACGGCTGGAGGCGGTGTCTGCACACGTGTGTGCGTGCACACGCATTGTGTGCGCATGTGTGTGCATGCACCTGTGTGCACGTGCTGCTCCAGGGGCTCACGCCTGGGCCGGTGCGCGGTGCCCGCGGTGCCCCAGCACAGCCCCCCGCCCCCTCCCCTCGCAGTGAAGCACAGACACGTCTTCAAGACCTGCGGGCCGGACGGGCAGTGGGTGACGGGCCCCCGGGGACAGTCCCTGCGCGATGCCACGCAGTGCGAGCTCGACGCCGAGGACCTGGAGGCGCAGGTGGGCAGAGCCGGGGGGGCAGCTGCTGCGGGGGGGTCCCTGCCCCGCCTGCCCCTGCCTTCACTCGCTCCCTCCCTCTCCAGGAAAAGTTCGCCAAGACCTACGGCAGCTTCAAGGTGATGTACACTGTGGGCTACTCAGTGTCACTGTGTGCGCTGCTCCTCGCCCTGGCCCTGCTGCTGGGCTTCAGGTGGGGGCACACAGGCATGGCTGGGGGGCTGAGGGTGGGATATGGGGGGGCCCATCGGGCTGTGCTGGGGGTCTGGACGCAGGCACCGACGGCTCCCCGCCTCCGCAGCAAGCTGCACTGCATGAGGAACTACATCCACATGAACCTCTTCGCCTCCTTCATCCTGAAGGGCGTCTCCGTGCTGGTCATCGACGCTCTGCTCAAGACCCACTACAGTGACAAGATCGACGACTACAACGTGCACATCTGGCTGAGCGACGAGGTGAGACGCGGGGCTGGCGGGGCGGGGGGGCGAGTGGGGCGGCAGCCCTGACCCCTGCCCACAGGCAGCCGCGGGCTGCCGAGCGGCCACGGTCTTCATGCAGTACGGCATCGTGGCGAACTACTGCTGGCTGCTGGTGGAGGGCATCTACCTGCACAACCTCCTCGTGGTGGCCGTCTTCTCCGAGAGGAGCTACTTCACCCTCTACCTGTGCATCGGCTGGGGTGAGTGCGGGCAGGCTGGCTCCCCGTCCCCGCCCCCCACCCCTGCCCTCTGCCCTGCCTCACCGGCCCCCTGCCCACACCCCTCCAGGGGCACCCGTGCTGTTCCTCATCCCCTGGGTTGTCGTGAAGTTCCTCTATGAAAACATCCAGTGAGTACCAGCCCCTGCAGCAGGTCGGGGTCTGCAGGGGCACAGGGCGCGGGTGGGTGTGCGTGGGGGTCGGTGGGGGGGCCTGGAGCAGCTCCACGCCATCACCCCTGCAAGGAGCGGGGTGCCGGGCCGTGGTGATCGCTCAGCCGGGGCCGCCGACACCACGCCCGGCTCCAGCAGCCTCCCAGCCGAGGGGCTGCCCGGCAGTCCCTGTCCCCCCCCCTCTGCAGGTGCTGGACCACCAACAACAACATGGGCTTCTGGTGGATCCTTCGCTTCCCCGTGTTCCTGGCCATCCTGGTGAGTCCAGGGCTGTGGCTCTGCCCACTGCAGCCCCTCGCTCGGCGCCTGCAAGGGCCCCAATCCTGCTGCGAGGGGCTGCCCTGGGCAGGGGACGGAGGTGCCCCCCCTGCCCCTGCCCAGCCCCTCAGGGCTCGCTCCGCGCCGTTGCAGATCAACTTCTTCATCTTCATCCGCATCATCCAGATCCTCGTCTCCAAGCTCCGCGCACACCAAATGCGCTACACCGACTACAAGTTCAGGTGTGGGGGGGTGGGCACAGCCCTGGTCCTGCAGGCCTGCGGGGGTGCATGCTGTGTGTGTGTCTGTGTGTGTGTGTGTGTGTGTGTGTGTGCCCACCCCATGACACCCCACGTCCCCACCCCAGTGACGGGTCCCCCTCCGCACAGGCTGGCCAAATCCACGCTGACGCTGATCCCGCTGCTGGGCATCCATGAAGTGGTCTTCGCCTTCATCACGGACGAGCACGCCCAGGGCACCCTGCGCTACGTCAAGCTCTTCTTCGACCTCTTCCTGAGCTCCTTCCAGGTGGGGCCAGCCCCACGCGGGACTGACCCTCTGCGGGGACCCTCCGTCTCGGGAGGGACCAGGCCAGGGTTGGGGTTGGGGTCTGGCCAGGCGCCTCTCACGCCTCTCCTCCCTCCGCCCAGGGGATGCTGGTGGCCATTCTCTACTGCTTCGTCAACAAGGAGGTGAGCGGGGCGGCGCGGGAGCGAGCGGGCAGCCGGGGCGGGCGCGGGGCCGCGCTGACGGCGGCTGCCCGCAGGTGCAGGCAGAGCTGCTGAAGAGGTGGCAGCGCTGGAAGCTGGGGAAGGACCTGGCCGAGGAGTACAAGCACACCTACAGCCACGCGCCCAGCGCCCGCAACGGCGCCGGCAGCGCCTGCGAGAAGCACCAGCTGGTGAGCGGCTGCGCCAACGGGCTGGGGCGCAGCCCGGCCGCCGCGCGCCCCGGCACCCACTACCTCGAGAGAAGCGGCCGCAGCACCGCCGAGCACCTCGCCCCGGGGGACCGGCACCACTGCTACGAGTTCCCCGAGACCACGGCCGAGAGCCACTTCTGAGCCCGCAGCCGGAGCGGGAGGGCTGCGCCGGCCCCACGGCTGTGGGATGGGCCGGGATGGCGGGGGCAGCCACCGTCCCCCCTCCCCGGCCCCATCCTGCTCCAGGCGCTGTGCGGGATCTGCCCGCCCTGGCCAGGACGCGATGCTGTATGGGGCTGGCTGCAGCGAGGCACGGCGGGCAGGACCTGGACCTCTGTGGGGAGGGGATCTGTGGGGCCGGGGGGGGGAATCTGTGTGTGTGGGGTTCATCCCGTGCTGCTGCCCTTGTGCGCCTTCGAGACCCTCTGCGCAGTGCTGTAATTTATCTGTCGTAACTGTAAATAGGTGTGGGCCCGTGCCGGGCTGCAGGGCCAGCTCCGCGTGCGCCTCTCTGTCCGGGGACCGGGGACACCGCGCCCCCCCACCCCCGAGCACCCAGAGGTGACAGACGGGGCGCGGGGCCACCCGGCATGGTTGGGCTGCACCAGAAGGCAGCCCCACTGCCTGCCCCACTGCCTGCCCCACGGCCCCACAGCAGTGAGCACGGCAGGCGCGAGGCAGCGGCCGGTGCAGCGCTGCCAGCCGGGGCTCCAGCTCCCCGCCAGCACGCTTTCGCCTCTGGCTGCTAATTGGCTCTGTCCTCTCGCTGCCAGGAGCCCTTAATTAAATCATTTGGCTCTGCCCGCCAGCACCGCCGCTCTCCTGGGAGCTGGCCCAGGCCACGGGCCGGGCAGCAGCCGCCGGCCACGCCGAGCAGTGCGAGCAGCGCCGTGGGGTGCGGGCTGAGGGTCCCCCCGTGCCGGTGCACCAGGGTGGCTGCGGGTGGCGGGGGGGGAGCGCGGCGGCCCGGCACCCTAAGAGGCTTGTGCCGTGCACGTGAGCGCTAAGCCTGGATGCCACGGCTTTGGGCACCGCGGCCGCCTGGTGCGCGGGGATTAGGCAGGCACCTCCCCGGGCCCGACGGGGGGTGGTGGGACAGGCAGCCGCCCTGCTGTGACCCCCCCCCCGTCCCCTGTGGGCCCCGGGCACTGCCCGTCACCCAGCATGGCCAGTCCCAAGCAGATGATGGTTCCCAGCTGTCCGGACCCCACATGCAGCCCGGCACAGGGGACGTGACTAGCAGGGCGAGTGCTTGGAGCCGTGCCCCAGCACCCACTTGCAGCCCCACGCAGAAAACAGCAGCACTGGGCGGGTGGCCACCCCCCCCCCCAACCCCGCGCCCCAGCAAAATCCCACCCTGTCCCAGCATCACCAGCAGCACCACAGCCCTGCCCGCCCACGCCAGGCGGCACGCAGGCTGGCGGGAGCCACGCTGTCTGCCCGGGCGGTGGCAGGGTCCCAGACCGCTGCGAGGGCGTCAGCGGGGCTGGCCGCGGCACGGGGAGGGCATGCCCGCAGCGCCGGCCCCCGGCCCCCGGCCCCGGCAGCAGCGCCATGCCGAGCGCCCAGTAATTTTCCTCTGTTTACAATTTTCCGTCTGCCCCAGCCGAGCAGGGACCCGGCCTCCGGGGGCTGGGGCAGCGCAGGGGATGTGGGGCGGAGGGGGCTGGGATGCGGTGCCAGGGCTGCGAGCCTGGGGCGGCGGTGCCGTGGGGCAGCGGTGCTGTGGGGTGGCGGTGCCGTGGGGCGGCGTGGGCAGGGATGGGGACGGGGAGGGCGACAGGGATGGACCCTGCCCAGAGCCAGCCCGGGCAGCCCCCCGCAGAGCTGCCGGCCCCCACGGCCGCTGCCGTCACTGCGGCCTCCTGACGCGGTAACGAGCCTAATTGAGGCAAATTGCTGGAGCACGAAGCGGTTTCTGGGAAGGTAAATACGGTCATCGCTCGGCGCTGGGCCCCGCGCCTGTTGCTCCAGCGTTGCCATGGCAACGCCCCACCGTGGTCCCCTGTGACACCCCGCCGGGGACAGGTTGGCCCCATGGCGTGGAGGGCACGGGGACCCCCAGACCCTGCCCACGATCTGCAGCGCCGGGACCCGGCGTCTGCCACGCCGTGACGGGGACCCTCTGCAGAGCAACGGCCTGTGTCCCCCGGGGCCGTGGGGCAGCCCCTGGCACCGCCCCACGGCTCCCCCCGTCCCCCGCACAGCCCCTTGCCGTGTCCCACCGTCCTGCCCACAGGGTCTGGCACCCCAAGGGGTCCATGTCGGGGGGGGTTGCAGGTCCCTGGTCCCCACCCTGTCCCCGCTGCGGGGGCCGAGGCGGGGGGCCCCAGGGACCCTGCCGGGGCCGCAGCGAAGGCTGAGGGTACACACGCACACCCCCACACCCCCCCCCCCAACCCTGAGAGCACCCCGGGGTGCACGTCTCGGCAGCACAGCCTGCTCTCCCGCATCCCCGGGGGACCCTCGGGCAGCACAACCTGCACAGCGCATCCGTGCACACACTGACATACACACAAGTACATGGCTACGCACACATGCACGCACACACACACACAAACACACACGCGTGTGCGCAGTCCGGGGCTGCCTGACTGGAGCTGCCCGTTCCCGGGGGGCCGGTGAAGGCGCTGCCACCCGCCCCGGGCAGGGACTCACAGACTCACGGCTCCGTTTGGGTTGGAAAGGGCCTTTAACAGTCACCCAGCCCAGCCCCACCGCGAGCAGGGACACCTTCCGCTCCACCGGGCTGCTCAGAGCCCCGTCCAGCCCGACCCCGGACCTTTCCAGGGATGGGGCACCCACCCCGGCTCTGGGCAGCCCGTGCCACTGTCCAGGCACCCTCAGCGTGCACAATTTCTTCTTCAGAGGCCAGACTCAGCCACAGCACGAGTCCCTGGCTGTGGGGCTAAACCCGAGGCACGGAACGGGGCCTGGGCAATAACTTGCCCCCCGCCGCCCGCCCAGCCAGCGGCACCCTGGGGCCGCGGCGCCTCGCAGGAATACTCCCACTTTATCAAGGGAACTGAGCACCACAAATTGGTCTCCTAAGTAGATTCTGCCTGCTGCCGTCCCCTCTTCTCAACTGCTTAATTCAATGATACAACACATACCTCTCTTCCTCCCACCGTTTAATCTAATGATAAGCACCGTATCCGAGTCACAGGGAAAATAAACACTTGCCGAGTTCAATTTTTATAGGTAAACAGCCTGATTTCTTTGGCCTGCGGCCTCACGCCCTTGCAGGGGCACCCCCCCGCCACCTGACTTCCACACTTCTGTGCCACCTCACCGCCCTCACCCCTGTGGTTTGTTATTAGTCTTTATAAAAATCGCCTGTTTATGGAATGATTTTTGTATGACATTTCATTAGAGTTCGAGTGAGTGATTTGCCTCTGGCTTCACACAGCCCAAGCCAAGAGAAAAACAAGGCGGAGGCCGGCCGGGTGGGGCTGCCGGACCCTCAGGCTCGGGGACGCCCCCGCAGCCCCCTGACGGGGCCGGCTCCCAGTGTGCTGGGGCAGCCCTTGCCCACGCACGCCACCCCATCCCGCTCCCCCCCTCAGCCGCCCCAGGGAACAGGGGCTCCCCAAACCTTCCCCCTGGGGACACATGTCCCCTTCCCATCCCCTGGGGACACACGGACACATGGTTCCAGAGGCGCTCAGCCAGGGCAGCCCCGCTCGCCCGCTGTGCTGCCCGGCGATGGGGCACCCCACAGGGCCCATCCCGCAGGAAAAGGTGACGGTGACAACTGTCACCCCCCCGGGGCCACTCGCTCCCCACCGGGTGCAGGGCCCAGCAGCACCGGGGTGGGGGACCAGGCCCCGGGGGGGCCAAGCCAGCATCCCCGGGAATGTTTTGGTGATAGGAGGTAAACAGGGTCATGGCCAAGTGTTGGGATGCACTTGAGGAGAAATTCTAGCAATGCTAAGTATAGTTTAAATGCCATTAAAGCAGGGGAGGGAAGAGGATACGAGTGTATTAATAGTCTCAACATTTAAATCTTTGGTCCAGCGACAGTTCCTAGGATGCTGGCGTGCAGGAGGGCTGCCAGAGCCCAAGGGCATTGTGCTACAGGCACGCAGCGCCAGGCTGCACATGCTTGCGGTGAAATTAAGAGCCCAGAGCAAGGGCAAGGGCAAGACCCCTTCTGGGGAAAAAAAAAAAAAAAAAAATCCAAACAAAACCAAAAAAAAAGTAAGAGACCGCTTCTGCTCTCTGCGTTACCTCTCCTTCAGACTGGGTCAGGCCTGAAAAGGCATGGAAAGCCCTGGCCTTTATTGCCGGCGCTGGAAGTCTGGAGTGGAAAACACAGGGCTTCAGCAACAAAACAGGAACGTTTTGGAAGTCTAAGAAAAGGGAAGACCAAGGGCCCTGCCCCAGCAAGGCTGCAGGCATGCACAGTGCTGGGGCAGGGAACAGCTAGCCGGGGTGCCGTGGCCGAGACAACCGTCTGTCCGGCCGTCGCGGTGCTGGGCACGGGCACAGCAGCACCGGGAGCGGCCGGGCAGCGTCCCGCACGCTGCTGCACCGCCATGAGCCGCCGGGCAGGGGCTGCGGCGGGCAGCGTCACACAGAGGCAGACCCAAAAGGACACCAGCTTTTATTTACAACACTCCTCAAGTGACAAACAGGAAAAAAAAAAAAAAAAAAAAAAAACAAAATAAAAAAAAACAGGATAGCTCAACGACTCAACAAAGGAAAGGTAATGGCAACCACAAGTCCTGCCGCGCTCCTCCCAAAGCCCACTGGTGCTGGGCAGAGCCCCCGCCAGCCCCCTCCCCGCCAGCCCAGAGCACGGGTGGGCAGGGGGCTGCTCCCACCGCTCCCCTGGGGGCACAGAGCAGCCCTGCGGCCGGCACGGCTGCTCTGCTCAGGTGGGTGAGGATGACAGAGTCGCTCTCCCTCGCTCAGAGGCAGAAACCACCCAAGCCTGGCCAGGAGCGAGGGTCCCAAGAAAGCCCCCACACCCGGCACGAGTTACACCAGCTACGACCGCCCCCCCCCCAGCAGCGTTCCTGCCAGATCTCTTCCAAGGGCGCACGTCAGGAGAACGGTGTTAGCGCGGGACAGCACGGCGCGGCTCAGGCAAGGGTGCCAACGAGCTTCTTTCCGCACAGTCAGCACCAGCCGCCCCCCACTGCCACTGCGTCCCGTGGAGCTGCCAGAGCACTGAGGCGGGGGGGCTGAACGTGGCCCAGCACCCCGCTCCGAGCACTGCTCGGGCGCCTGGGGCTGCGGCCAGTGCCGACACCCCGTCTCTCCCCGTCTGCAGGGAGGGGGGAGCAGCTCCGCTTCCAGCTCCACAGGGACCCGGCCCGATCTAAGCACAAAGAGGAGCCGGCCCTGGGCGCAGAGCCCCGAGCTCTGGCAGCACTGACCCGTCCCAGCCCCTCACACAGCCCAGGTACACATCAATTCCTCTCGCCAGAGCATGACCTGCCCAGCACTCAGTCGCACAAAAGGTGTTGAACTGGGGCTGCCTGTATGGCCCGAGGCGTGAGGACAGAACCAACTCTCCTTCCTTCCCTCCCCGGCCCCCCCTGCCCGCTGTGGATCCCCGGTGCACAGAGGGGAGCAGAGAACTAGCGCTGCCTCTACCGACAAGCCAGCCACCCTGCTCGGCTCTGCCACACTCCAGGGCCCGGGGAGCCCACCAGCTCAACGCACTGGGGGCAGAGATGGAAGGAGAAGGGGAGATCTGCGAGCCCAGCGTGAAGTGGGGAAGGACAGCTCGAGGCCAGAGAAAGCTACGAGTGGGGGGCTGGAATCCTTTGCCACAGGCTCTGGGCATCCTCAGTGAGCCTCTGAGCATCTTTGATTTCAGGTAGCTTCAGAGCCAGCCCCAAAGCTGACTGGCTCTCCTGCAGGCTTTTAGGAGTACAGACCAGAGAAGGAAATCAACACAAAATCTCAAATTAAATCTGCTTGAGGACCTTAGGAGACCAGTCGATCCGCAGGGAGGACCCGCCTTAGGACTTCTTGGCATCCTGTGTGTTCCTCCTCTTCAGATCACCCAGGTCGACGGGTTTAAACGCTGCAGGGAAGCCAGGAGAGCCCTTGGCGGCACCGCAGCCCCCTCCCGGCCCGCCGGGCCCCCCGGGCCCGGACGTCCCCGCCGGCAGGAGCCGGGGGAGGCTGCCCCCCGCCCCCCTCACCTTTGAGGCTCGGGTTCGGCATCTTCTCCACGTACTCCTCGACCAGGCCGCGCTCGGAGCCCATCTGGCTGCGCAGGTCCCGCTCCACGCACTGCCAGGCTGCGGGGACAGGGGTGAGGGGGCGGCTCGGCCCCGCCGGCGCCCGGGTCCCCCCCCTCCGCGCCCCGCCGCCCCCGCTCACCCTCGTAGATGAAGCGCACGTTCTCCTCGTGGGCCGGCGTGAAGATCTCGCTGCCGGCGCCGGGGGAGCGCGGGCCGCCGCTCCGCTTGCCGTTGTAAACCACGCGGGACACGGGGGAGCTGGAAGCGAAGCGCGGGGCTGAGCCGGGCCCGGGGCCGCGGCTGGGCCCGGGGCCGGGCGGGGCTCACCTGGCCATGGCGTATGTCGGTGCGGCAGCGGCGGCTGGGCTCGGCGCGGCTCGGCACGGCTCGGCGCGGCTGCGGGGAGAACGGAGAGGGCGGCCAGGCCGGGGCTAGGCCGCGGGCCGCCCCCCGCCCGTCGCCATGGCAACGCGCGCCCCTCACCTGGGCCCGGCTCCCGCCTCCGCTCGCCCTCAGGCCGCGACGGAAGCGCCGCAGCGCGCACGCGCCGCTCGGCCGGCCGGCCCCGCCCCCGGCGGCGCGTCACCGCGACCGCCCCGCCTCCGCCGCGCGTCGCCCCGCCCCGCCCCGCCCCGCGGCACCGCGCCCGCCATTTCCGAGCTCTTTATTGGAAAAGCACAAAGCGGCTCCCGGGACGCGGCACCGAGCGGCCCCCGCCCGGGCCCGGCCCCGGGCCCCTCGCAGCCCCCGGGCCCGCCCCTTCAGCCCATCGTGGCGGCTTGGAAGAGCTCCGCCAGGTCCTTGCACTCCGGGTCGATGAGGTCGGACGGCTTCTCCCCGGCGTCGGTGGCGACCTCCGGGCTGGCCCCGAGGGTCAGGAGGTACCTGCAGCACACGAGGCGCTGAGCCGGGAACCCCCGGCCCGGGGGCTCCCCCGGGCGCGGCCCCGCCCGCTCCCCGGGCACCGGGCACCGGGCGCGCCCCTCACCTCGCGATGTGCGCGTGGCCGTCGCTGCAGGCCATGTGCAGCGGCGTCCACCCGTTCGCGTCTCTCTGGTGGATGTCGGCGCCGTATTTCACCAGGAGCTCGACACAGTCCAGGTTGCCAGTAAGCACAGCTTCGTGGAGGGCTGCCATGCCTGGGGGGAAGGGGATCGTGAGCCCTGGCCTGGGGAAGGAGGCTTAATGCTGAGCTTGTAAGCACAGGTGGTCCGCTGCCCAGGAAAGCAGGGTGCCAGCAAGGCCTCCTGATCAGGGGGATGAGCTTGGGAAAAGAAGCAAAGACTGAGGAAGCCGAAGGAGCTGCCACGGCTTTCCGTCCCCCTTCTGCGCTGTAAATACCCGATCGAAGGTGGCATACCCACCTCCCCACCGGCTGGGCACGACAGATGAAGGGAGGAGGAGCTGCCCTCCTCTCCAGAGCTCCCGCCCGGCACCCTGCCCCGAGTCCCCGTCAGGACTCGCATGGGGACGCGGGGAGGGTGTCCTGCTCTGTCCCAAGTTTCAGGAGCTCCGTACGGGAGCAAGGAATGAAGCAATCAGTAGGGACAGCAGGAAGCCTGGGGTCATTTGAGACCCTGTCTCCGTGGCCATGTGACAGCAGACGCTGAAGCCAAGCACAAGAAAGGGACAAATCTGGGCTCTGCACCAGCCGGTACGGCTCAAGGCATTCCATAAACAGTTGCTAGTGTGGTTGTGTGCAAACAACACAGTGCCTTCCCCACCAACATAAATGCCACAAGTCCACAGCTCCAGATGTGCAAGAGAGAGGACAGTGCCTGCGAGAAATGGGCAGAGCCCGGAGCAAAATGCGGAGCCGTGCTTCTCCCCGCTCTTCCCCCAAACCGGGGAGAAAGGCAGGAGCCCCACTGTGCTGTCCAGGGCTCAACAGACCAGCCCGTGCCCACTGCTGCTTTTTCGGGTCCCATCCTGCTGCAGGTGCCTCGAAGGGACCTGGGGGGGGCACACTCCCCCTTCCCGCAGCACACGCTGACCACGCTGTTGAGGGGAGACGTCAGGGCACTGGCATGGGGCTCCCTTGGGCCCTGCTTGGCATCGCTAGGGACACTGCTCCTCACTAGGGAGGAAGACGACTCGATTCCAAGCCGTTACCCTGCCGAAGGTGGCCCACAGCCCAGCTCCGGCTGCACGGCTCGCGCTCGTCTCCCTGGCCGCCCGGCTGAGCCGTGCCACCGCACAGGTTCCAGCTTGGCCAGGCCCAGCAGCACTCACCAGACGGGTAGATAGTGTCCAGCGTCACCTTCCTGGCACGAATGAACCTGCCCACCTGCTCCAGGTCCCCCTGCCTGATGTGGTCCTGAAAGACGACGTCGTTGGGGAAGTGCACGGTGCGTGAGGCTCTCAGTCTCCGGGCGTACCGACTGTACCGGGGCGTTGAGACCGGGTAATAGTCCCTCATGCTGACCGCAGCCTTCAGACACTGCAGAGGAAGAGGAGGAGCAGCGGCGTGGAGGGCCGCAGGAGCAGCCGGCGTTGCTCAGTGCTCGGCCCTCCCACTCGCTGGCCTCGGAGCGCTGCTTTCTCCTCTTCTGCTCGTCGGGTCCCTCCTCGCTACCAAGGCGCGATGGCACCCGTGCTGCCGCGCTCCCTCGGTGCCCGCGTCCCCGGTGGGTGCAATCCCCCCTCACCGGCCGGGGAGCGGCGGCCGCCGGGCTCTGCCCACGCTCCCGTGCCGCATGCAGGAGATGGCACTGGGCACCCGCAGGTCACCCGCAGGGCCTTGGCCCAGGACTGATGGTTCTCCAGGGGCGTCGCATTATATAGGCTCCCGTGGGCTATTTTGAGGACATGCAGCTCATGCTATTTGCCATGATACGTCGTAATCGAGCCGCCCAGGCCCGTAGCTTCCCACTTTTGGGCAGAAGTTGGTGTCTCATCTTACCATCCACCTGTTGATGTGCCCATCGAAAGGGTCAAATCCACTCTTGCTTTTGCATGGATAGCCCTTCAGAGGAGCCCAAGGACCTGAAAACAGAACTTCCCAGCAGCAAGCGGTCACACATACACACACACACGTGCCAGGGCAAAGACACAAGCACCAAGCAAGGGGAACCAGCCGCTCACGTACTGACCAGCCAGCGCAGCGCAGACGTGCCGGAACTATGCTGCCAAATACATTCAGAGCGAAGTCACTTTCCTGTAGTTGCATCAGACGACTTGAAAGGAGCGTAATGAGCTGTGCTGCCCAGCACGACTGCGGGACAGCCTACAGCTAAGCGTGGAGAACACCACCAGCGCGTTGGATATCCTCCGTGCCCGTGCGAGGACAGAGGTGCTGCTGGTGCTCCTGGTGCAGGCGCAGGACCAAACGCCTGCCGTGCCAGTTCGTGGTGCTCAGTGTCCTACTGCAGACTTGGAACCAGCTGCTACGTAAGGGCAGGCTTCTCCAGAACAGCCTCAGAAGAAGAGCTGAAGAACAGCACCACCACCAGACAATTCCTGCATTTGTTACTCTCCAGCTGTAGCTGTCAAAGGCCCTAAAGGGACCATCTGTCAAAGAGGAATCTTTCAGATCCAGCAAGGGTTCAAGCAACAACTGCTCCTCCATGCTTTTCCCCAAAGTTTGGTCATTTCAGACACAGGAGCATCTTGTGTTCTGGCTTGTGCTGATGGGGATTGTCCAGGCAGGTGTGTCGGGAAAGAATCCCTGCCCCACACCGGGGGTCACAGAGATTTCATCCTGCCCCTTCTGCAGCAGACCCTTGTCCTGGCCCCCTGCCAGCAGCGAGGCTGACAGCTAGGTCAGCCACACACCTGAGAACTGCCTGCACTTGTTTATCTTCTGGCAAACGCATCGACCTTTTTACCGAGGCGCTCTGCTCAGGGTTACATCAGACAGAACGCCCTGCGCTAGGCAGCTGAGTTATCTGCTGTGGAGACAGAACGCTTTTAGCCTGCTTTCTTGGAATGGCAATTAGGTGTGTACACAAGATGACTCTGATGGAGTCCTGCTCTGCCAAGAGGAGCCCTGGTGCATGGGAAAAGCTCCCCTCTGAGCTGAGCAAGGCAGGTCTCGGACTGTAAGCAAGCAGAGCACCACTGCAGAGCTCAGCCTTGTTTACACTTCAGCTGGCTCCACAAAACGAACCTTTTGAGCTGAGACCCAGCCAGCACCTCGCAGCAGAACTTCTTACTAGCAGTGCTCTCTTCCCAACCCAAGGCAGCTACCACTAACCGGCCCTGATACCGACCACCAGCGCAGGGGGACAGCAGGGGCAGCCAGGCCACGCTAACATCCAGCCCCCAGCCCGCCCGCAGACCTGCGAGGTCACAGCTCTGGAGCGAGGCACCTTCAGAGACCCTTCTCCACACAACCGCAGGCAACAGCCAGGCACAGTGCAACCAACTGCTGGGGCCTGTTCTCTTTGTAAACGCCCTTTTCTGAGCCCAGAGCAAGCGACTGCCTGTTCAGTCCCAGTGCTGCTGCACCAAAGGTTTGAGCTCATGACAGCAGGACAGGGCCGGGGCTCTGCTCCCAGGGGAAGCCCAGGAGGTGGCTGGAGCTGCGGACAAGCCTTGTACAGCGCTCCTGTTCCACCACCCCAGTGCACCCGTGTTTAGTGACTGGCACCAGGAGCCTGCTGAGGTGCCCTCTAGCTCCACCATGCCCTCCCTTGTGACAGTTATAGCATATTTTCTTACAAAAGTATTTTCAGCAGCAAGTGACTGGTTTGGAAATAGCAAATGTAGCTCACTGGATCATGTGAGCCTGACTCGCAGAGCGAGAGGCAGCCCCAGGTTTCCCTGTAGGCAAATTCCTTGGTTAGTGGTTCAAGAGCAGCGAGCTCCTCTCACCTCAAGCCAGCTGGCAGAGACGCTGTTCTCAGAGGCCAGGCCAGTGTCTGCTCACTGCTAATAGGGCTGTTGGGTGTCTGTCTGCCCAAGCTGATTTACTCTGGACATGACATGGTCATATCAAAGTTCCTTTCCTTTATAGACAAGGCAATACAAATATTTTTAGGTTAAAGTACCAGAAGCCACCTGCAACTGGAAGCATTCAGTGCAGTTTCTCTCAAACATGTTTGGTAAAAGTTTGAGAAAGCTGACAAACACACACCATTTTGGCAGAGTCCCTTGAGAATCAGTTAAGAACCCTGATCTTTCAGGTCAGGTTCAAATATTTTCATTCTATATTCCAATAAAGACAAAGAGACATAATAGTATTAAAATCTCAACTTTATTTGGCCAACAAATTCAAGTTCCAATGTTATTGTAGCGGAATGCTAAGAACGAGCCTGATGCAGCTCAGGCCTTTGAGGCACTCCCTTGTTCAAGTTCCTCCCTAAAACCCAGTAATTGCAAATGTCCTGTTTGATCTATTTTTATCAGGCCCTCCCACACCACCCACCTGCCTGGTCAACCCATTCAAAATAATGCATGGAAAGTGATTGCAAGTCTTGCATTTGATCAAAAGGATGGCAACACAGCTACGTCTCATCTAAGCTGGTGAGCCAGCGATCACCTCTACCCTCAGAGCCTGCCACAGCCAGTGCACACAGTATTCCACACTTCCAGGTGGTTGGAATAGTCATCTCCAAGTGTCTTAAAGCAGAGGAGAAAGGAAACATCTAGCCAGCATGAAGTGAAGCACCTTCATATATACCTTTCACCAGGGTGATGTCATCAGCCTACTGCTTCTTTCCCTACATATATTGAAAGCCAATTCCAGGGAATTACAGCTGAGACCATTAAGGACCCTGCCAGGTGCAGAAATCAACTATGGGCTTTAGTTTTAAAAGAAAAGGAAAAAAAAGCTTTCTTGGAAGATGTTAGTGGCAAGGCTCCAGAATGTTGGGCCATTGAACTCGTGCTACCGCTTCACAATCTGCTTCTACCCAGAAGAACAGAATACTTCAAAAAGCTGTGTACAAAAAAAGTACATCACAATAAAAAAAAAAAATGAGCCCAGCTGGCTGGGCTGGCTACCTAGTGACAGATCCCTTCTGAAAAGTGAAAAGAAAGTCAAGTGTACAGACAAGTGAGGGTAAAGTGTTACTTTAAAGCCAATCCCTGGATTTCCAGTCATTCACCTTCTGCTTTAAATCTTAATGGGTTTCTGACTCACTGGGCTGCATAACAGCAGCCAATTTAGTGTCTGATTTTTTTGGGGTGATGTAGATCAGTCTTCTCTTTACAATTCATCCTTTTGGATTTTCTGCTCATCATCATCACCTTCCTCAAGGTCTGTTTCTTCATCCGTCTCCAGGTCCTCCAGATCCTGTGTAGGTTAAAGACAGCTACTGGTTTCTGCCACATTAAGCAGATTCAAAGTGAAGCACATAACAGCATCTCTAATCTGTTCGCTGTTCTCTTCTGCCGTGTTAACAAAACATGAAGAGACTTCTACCAAGAGCTCCGAATTTGGGACATTCGGGATTAGAAACCTCTGGAAGCTGGTACCTGTAACACCCTCCACCCCAGCAGGGGAGGATCTTCCAACTAGATAACTGCATGTAATGTTCATCCTGCTGCTCAAGTTCCAGGTGCTGAGCAGGAGTTCTAAACAAAGAACAAACCTTAAGTACTCCAGCAGTTTGCACAACCACCAGAGAGACAGCTTGTGCAAACTTAGAGGGTCTATCAACTGTTTCCGTACATTTGCCCTTCCTGCCACATAACCACCCAGACTCTTATTTAGGACTGAGGATTCAAGCACAGCACCAGATCTGACCCATGTTCCATATTCTGAAGGCCCAGAGTACTGTACTAATATTACTCACATCATCAGCTGCTGCCCCATCCTGACCTCCACTCTCCAAGAATTTTTGAAGCCTTCTAGTGTCCTCTCCCCGTTATAGTCAATTACCTAGACAGGAAAAAACATCAAGACAATGGTTGTGGGCACCCACAGAACCACACCCCTGGAGAGGAGAATTCTCTTTCTGAGCAACAGTTCACATGCCAAGCAAAAGGGAATTTAAAAATTCACCTTCACCCATATGAGACGAAGGAAAACAGCTCAGCCACTAGACTTCAGAGATCACTGCGAGGAAAGAATAGCCTGCAGATGAGCACACTGTCGTCTGCTATGCTCCCTCTTTTCCCCATTTCCCACTTCCCAACCCCACCAAACTCCTTCCTTCAGCCCAGCCCCCCCCAAAGGGTCTCAGATGTCCTGTAGACTTCATGTGTTCCATCCCTACAGAAGGGAGCACCCTCCCAAAGGCCTTGGCCAAAATAGAACTCAAGCAGGCAACTAAGTATTTCTAGTGCTCCCTCGTTATGCCGTCTGTATAAAGGTCAGCTGCCCTCTTACATTTCTGCCAGAGCCTGCAGGGAAGAACTTGAGTGTAGGGAAGCTGTGGATTTTCACTGCCTCTACTTCATTGGCTGTTGAATCCATCTTGGCAATGACAACGTTCTCATGGTCCCTGTAGGTCTCTCCCAGCTTGTCCCAGATAGGAGCCAGCTGCTTACAGTGACCACACCAGGGGGCATCTGTTAATTACAAAAAAACATAGCTAGCACCAACAGCCT